GTGAAGATGAAGAAAACCAACCGAAAGCTCAACTTGCTGAGCCTTGATGAGAACAAGGTCACGGATGCGGGTATTTCTGAGCTGCTACTGTCGCCTGACGTCATGGAGATGGACGGAGTTCACTTGCATTCGAATTCGTGTTCTTATGATCAGTTCCGACCTCCGCTTTATGAATCCGCTCTGTACCACAGCAAAAGTATACTAAGTGACTTAGTATCCGACAGATGATTGCCCAACAAATCATGCCGTGGCAACCATGGTGAGAATGCCGACCAGGGAGGATCAGGATCTCAGGTGGAATCCTAGCTGTGACTTTGCGCATGGCTGTTTGCGTGTTGGTGACGTAGTATCTGACTTGCTTTTAAGTTTACCCCCGCCACCTCTTGAACATACACACACACACACACACACACACACACACACACACACACACACACACACACACACACACACACACACACACACACACACACACACACACACACTCTTTCTCTTTAATATTCTTTGCCTGTATTTCTTGAAAAAGAGCTCCCTACTTTTGCGCTAGAAGTACACTGTCCAAGTATGTACCCGTACATCATCTATAGCCACGGTTCCAGCCTCCAGTCTTTGGCAACGGGCATTATTTCGTGCTAATGATGCCCATGATGCGGACAAATGTCTAGTCTCCAGCAGCAAGTCTGCCATGCAACCCATCAGGTACCTGATCTGCACGGGAACATGCCTACGTCAATGTGCCCGCCCGTAGCTTCCACGGCCAAGCGTACCGCTCTCTCATGGAGCTCCACCTTGAGACTTGAACTGTGTTTTGCTGGTGGTGTGCAGCCTCAGGATTGTCAGTTGTACTGAGGCATGTGCATGATAGGCGACTGTATCGGATTCCTTTATTGAATCTTCCGTTGGTTTTATTGAATGTCTACATGAATATTGAGATAGGAAGCCTTGAATTCTCGTTCCCGGATATTTTCTTTCTTTTTAATAAATGAAATATCTACTTCGAAGTAAGTTATTATCAAAGTCAAGCATGTACCAACGCAGCAGGCCAGTTCTAGACTTCGCTGAGCATTTTCCTTGAATTTCTCTGTTAATATGGGGGCGATCAGGGCACTATTGTCTCCCCATTCATTTAGCTATCGAGCATAATATTATTGTTTTCTTGAACACCAACTAGGCGTGGCCAAAACATACACCATGTTTGGTGCTGAGTCTACCCTCGTTAGTAGGTAACCCCCAGGGGTTCCAAAGTGTTTGTCTTATAACCAGTACAAGTATTATCTACTACTGTACAACTACAAATTTTCGTTTGCAATTAATTTAACTTTCGCTCTATTCGTTAGGGGGCACGAAATAACTAAAGTTTGTACCAAACTAACGTTTTTTTTTCGGAACGTTCGGGGTGGCAGACCTCGACCAAAATGAAACTTAGTACACAACAAGCCTGCTGGTGGAGTGATCTAACGAAAGATTTCGTGAACAAAAAGTTGTACTTATACAGTATCCGGACTTGAATGTACGCGTTTCACGCGGCAGGGGATTTTTGATGGCGTTGTCCATGTTGTCTGGCTAATGAGATTTGTCTTGTAACCGATGTCGTACTAACGAGGGTAGACCTGTTCTGAGTCCACGACGATGTGTTTGGTCATGGCGTCACACCGTTGTCAGTGTGTGACTGTCCGCACTTACACAGCCAGCCCTTACCGGCAGAGAGGAAGCATGAGGAAACTGCGACACTGGGGAGCGTTCGTTTTGCTTCCCAAGATTTTCGGGGAGCTCCATAAAAACTCCTGGAGGCGTTCGTTTGGCTCCGTGAAAAACACGATTTTTCACCAATCTTCACAGCCTCTACTGCCGGAGTACGAGTCACGAGTTGTATAGAGTTTTCGACTTCGACAGCATGTTGCAAGGCAAGGACGCATAGGCTGTGTTTACATGAGAAATTTCAACCCGGGTCGAGTTCAGCCCGGGTTGAAAGTCTGTACGATAGGCAAAATAGGTGAGCATTTACATGAAGACAGTTGACCCAGGTCAAATACTGATATGCCGCCAAAAATCCACTTCTAGAGTCCTGTATGGTCACGTGAATCCGTTCGCGCGAAATTTGCATGTGCAGTGCTGTTCAAACCTGGCGCGAGATACGCACAGAAGTACGTTTGTACGATTTTCTTGACCCGGGTTGATTTCCAAGGGAAGGGTTGAAATCAACCCGGGGCGAATTTCAACCCGGGTCAAGCGCAATGCGTCATGTAAACGCGCCATTCATTTTGTGTGGGTCGAACCCAACCCGGGTTGAAACGCCTCATGTAAACACAGCCTATCTCCTGACTACAACCATAACCCGGTTGGCAGAGTCCCAGTCTTGTGACCATTGGAACCGTGTTGGGAAAACCCCGGTTCGGACCCTCTTTATTCTAGGGGATGGTAGAATTTAGAATTTTGTCTTTTTTGCCTGTGGCAGTTCGTGGAGCCCAGATAAATTTTGTGAGAAGTTGTGTTTGTGACATTCCAGTGGGAAGTCCATCGGGGTCTGCTCGATCAAAAAACAATATTCAAGTGTGATTCTTGTCCGTATGATGTTGAAGTTCGGTTTGCTTCTTTGCTTGATTTGCACTTGCTTGAAGTTTCACCGTCGTTTTCTCTAGAAACGTGTGTGTTTCCAGACGTGAATTAAACAGTGTGTCTCAGCAGGTGGCGACACTGTCGAACTTCTTCCAGTGATGATCCTGGTACTGTGAAGTCACTCATGACAAACCACAATATTCGACAAGTCAGGCTTGTTGTGACGATGTACGTGTAAGGTGTTCATGATTTGCACTCGGTCAAAATGATGATACGACTATATCCTAGCATTGCCTAACAGCAAGAGTCCATAACCCAAGAGTATGCAACTGTGATTATGGGTGCATGCGTGGCGCGCTGCCTTCATTACGTAACTTGCCTTCATCACGCTCTGAAAGCATGCATTCAAATCTCAATTTCTCGCACGAGCCCATCCGTTTTTGCTCTATTCGTTCCAGTACCTACACAATCTCTGAATTCTGGCGCGTGAACTCCAGTTCCGTACGAAAGTTCATTTCAAACTGGAGGGAAAGTGCGGTGTTTGATTTTCCGCAGTGCGCGGACTGCAGCTGAATGATGTAATGAAGGCAGCGCACCGCGCATCTGGCCCATAGAAAAGAGATCACAGTTGCATACTCTTGGGTTATGGACTCTTGCTAACAGCAAGAGTACATAACCCAAGAGTGTGCAACTCCAGCTATGGGGTCTGCGACGGCAGAACTTCACATCACGTGATGAACCCGTGCACTCTAGTGCATGATAGATACTGGGTTGTACGCAGCCCAGCTTTGGGTACAACTCTCTTGTGGTCACTTTGCACTGTTTGCCAGCATAACCTTTTGAACCATGTCACGTGATGTGAAGTTCTGCCGTCGCAGCACAGCATAGAGGTTGTGCAGGCAGTTGCACACTCTTGGTTATGTACTCTTGCTAACAGTGATAGCCCTTAGCGGATAAATAATGTTCGAAAAATTGGCAGATTCTGCTAGAAAAGCAGTGAAATTGGCTGCTGAGAACCATACAAACCGTATGGCAGTCATTTCCTTGCATTCTTCTTCCTGTCTCAAACCACCAGTACCAAACATACATGAAACATACCTACCAGAAAAACGGTAGCAAATCAGTTCTGCCAATGTTTCTTCTTTATCCGCCAAGGGCTTTTGCCTATCACACACCAGTGTAGACGTTGTAAAATGAAGTCAGTTGCTTGGAAGATGATACTGGTGTACATGTGTTGTAGTCGTTCCCCTCTACGTGCACCAAAGCCTTAGCCGATGTTTTGTCCGGGCTGTCGTTTTACCTCGATACGGCATGTGCGCTCAGTTTCGTGACTGTGAAAGCAGACTCCCATCCTTCTACAACTGCATTGTAGAAGGAAAATATTAATTCTCTGCAAAAATGCAGCATTGCACTTGGTGCTTTGTTGTACTTGTACTTGCAAGAAAATTGTTTTGGTGTCGGCTTTTAAAATGCAGAAATGACGAAGTTCATGCAGATTCCTTCCAACGTCGCAATGCAAGGAAGGATCGTTGTATTCGACGGTACCGATTCTCAGCCCTTGAATGATGAGGGCCGCATGATACCCTGAGTCATTCTTTGAAAGCCGCTGGCCATCAATATTATTTCTGAGTCCGCGACGCACTGCCGCGGGTTTCGTCACTGCCGCAAAATATTAATTCCACTCAGTTAGTCGCTATCCAGTCACAGACATTTTTGCACCTGATAACTATTGACTTTTATTATTACATGTATTGTGAACATACAGTGCTAGCAACTGAAATCTGACTCCTGAGCGGTGCGCTCACATCGCAAAGACCCAACACGGGATGGTAAAACTACGAAACCGAGACCGCTAGAATGTGAACCCACCTCAGGGGGTCGGATTTCAGTTTCCAGCACTGTACATCACGGTACATGTAAGCCATGCAAGACGGAGACTGCATTCAAGTCATGTGACATGTGCAAGATCATAAGATCATAACAATAATTCACGGTCTTGCTGGATATACTACTCAGGTTCACTCACGTTGTCATCGTAATCACGGGGCCCCATCCTTGCCATCGGATGCGAAGAGACTGAGTGAAATAAGCTGTCAGAGCTCAGACATGACATACCATGATGCCGTACCGGTATCACAATGTGCTTATGAGGGCCTGCAATACAACAGTCATTATAAATCATACATCATGACATTGACATCATTATTCATAGTCAGAAAGTATTGACCACTGACACTGTATGGCTTACTGTAAGTACCGGTATACGTATGCCTATGCCTATGGCCGACTACAACTTTTAAAATACAAGTAAAAAAATTAATAATATCCTCGCATCCAGCCTAGTTCCGGTTGTCATGACAACAACAACGGCGAAATTCCGGAAAAGCTTCAAAAAATTTGTTGTTTTGAAAATGAAGAAGCTGGCCGGCCGCGGCCAGTGCAAGAGAAGTGCCAGCCAGGGCTTGGCACAAACTTTCTTGTACAGTCCGTGTGTAGTTGTGTTGTGTTTGGTCTCCTTTGTCATCTCTCAACGGGCGCGATGCCCTAAGTCTGTCCTATCCCGGCACTTAGTTGTGCTATCGTCTAGTCCTCGAAATGGCTGAACGAGTTGGAAAAACTCGCGTAAGTGCTTTTTTCTTCTTGATAGATTTAGTGTTTGAACATTAATTTTGGCTTCGTTGTAGAGCTGTTTAGTACTACTAGTCTTGTACTAGTACTCTGCACACTTTCAATCCGCCTGAGAATCATCATTATTGCATGGTTGGTGCTTTCCTTCGGGAAGGGAACGTATCACTGTCTCCGGTACAGCAAAGCACCCACACACAACTGCGTGAGCGATCTATATTTTTAAATTTTTATAATAATTATTATTATTATTCTGTATGGATTGCAAGGCGACTGGCTATGATATTGTGGTTGCGTATCGTGGCAACGAACTTGGAAATATGTGCAATCATATCAAAACCAGAAGGTCAATAACACTTGATCACCGTGCCAGTAGTGCATGTATTAGTGCAATGAATTGGCAATGAAAAATATTAACTGGATGAAAATATGATTTATATTCATAAAAGACAAACACAGTGAAAACATTTGCAAAACTTGGCGACATCACGATACTGTAAAAGCCATATATATATTATACGAAGTGCTAACTCTAACGAGTTAACGAGGAGCAATCTGTCGTTAAAATAGAAATCGTTATAACAGAAATCGATACATATACTGTCCTATTGAGCGTTGAGAATGAGACAGAATCGTTACCTTTGGTACACGTAAACCAGTCAATTTGGGGAAATCGTTATATATGCGCCTCGTTAGAATAATGGCTTTTACAGTAGTACCGTAAAGTACCATTGATCCGCCCCCTCTCTAACTCCCGCCCCCTGTCGATTTTCTACCTGTGAAGCGATTTCGGCGTATACAACGAAATACGATGTTGAACTGACGCTTGCACTGCTGTACACAATACGTGCCAATCCAGGATGAAAATGTGCACAATCCAGCACATCGAGTCTGATCCTCCATGTTGTACATCATACTGCACTTGATCTAATTCCCGCCCCCTGCCGAAAATCCAGCTGGGAAGCAACATGGCGTGGGGGGGGGGGGGGGGGGGATCAACGGTACTTTACGGTAAATAGAGAGGTTCTGCAAAACGAAAATGCGTACAAACTTTCGGTCTACGTCATGAAGTGAGAAACTTCGCACGAACTTTCGCAACTTTGGACCCGAAACTTGCAGGCAACCCGAAGTTAACCCTTTAAGAGCCACAGGAAAATTTCAAAATTCTGCATTTTTTTGGGTTCCTTGGATCATAGCTTCAGTTCTACTCACCCAATCCTCACAATCTAGGGCTTCCTGGAAAGGTCTCCGCGAGAGGAAGAGAATGAGGTCGATCATGATCGCCAGCACACCGTCTATCCAGCGCTAGATCGCAGCGACGGTACGAAAAATGCCCCAAATGCGTCCAGTGCGTCCCGCTCCAGATATTTCATTTTGCTCGATCCTGGAGTTCCAATTTTTTCGCTGTGTACTCTTGACAATGTCAACAGTGAAACCCGTGCAAATTCGAGTAAACCAGCGTGACGAAAAGTCTCAAAATTCTCAATACTAAAGTCGCACTGCGCGCTTTTGAAATTGCCGCGATCGCGGCTCAACTTACGAGTGATTTATCTCAGGAACCGTTGCTCGCAGCGCTTCGCGGATTGTTTCTCCCGACAGGTGAGAGTTTTCTCTTCGCCCTGGATATTTCCATCACTGGATTTGAGCGAGATTGGACTGAGTTACGATCTTTTGAAGTTTTGCATTCAAGTATGGGGCGGCTCTTAAAGGGTTAACTTTCGTGGGAAGTTTCGTTAGATCGGGTCAATGGATTCACTGCGTACGTACGTGCACTTGGGCCCGTCGCGAAACTTCGTGCGAATATTCGTTTTTCAGAACCTCTGTAATGAAGTGTAGGGAGCAGTGCACACAGTTCCTCTATTATTCCGTGGCAGAATTAAGCTGTGTTCACAACTGGCGTGTGTATGATTGAAACCACGCGTTTGTGCATATTTTGCTGGTTTTTGGGCGTTATGTGTATGGCAACGCCCCGACATGGAAATTACAACGCATATTGGCGTACATGCCAGTCACTTTGACTACAATGTAGGGCCCTGGGGGGGGGGGGGGGGGGGCTAAAAATTAGTACGCTGAGGCGTCACACGCCCCAAAATACGTCTCGAACTGCAGATTTCTGTGAAAGTCTGAACGCGCGTTTGGGCACTCGTGAACCGCAAACGTACCGTGTGCATGCGCCAGTTACGAACGCAGCTTTGGGCTTGTTACTAATGTTTAGACTCACAATGTAGGCTTGATCCTTGAGGTTGGTGGCGTTCCTACGGATGCGGAAAACTGGGCTCTACAGTCCATTCAGAAAAAGATGATATCCTAGCTTGCTGGCCATAAATGGGTCAAATTTTGAGTTTTTTCACAATTTTTTTCTGCAATCCCCCATGAAATGCTCTTCTAATTATCTAATTAGTGTGAGTTTCGAAGTCTGAGGAAAATGTTGAACGGCCTCTGCTGGGATGACAACTACACCATAGCTCAGTGGTTAGAGCATCGCTGGCTACAAGCGAGGGTCCCTGGTTCGAGTCCTGGTGGTGGCAGTCAATTTTTTCTTCAGACTTTTCCCGTTTGTCTCTTTCCCTCAAACCAGTTAATCTTCTAATTATGTTACTGAAGTCCATTTCTCCAAAAAGCAAACCATATCAAGGATAGGATTTCGGCCAGGTTTTGTCTTGTAAGCGCTGAATTGGGAAAGGCTACCAAAATCCAATCCGTTTCACACCACTTGCATCACTGCATCCTCCGGTTCGAACCCCAGCTGTGGTACCTTTTTCGGACCCTTTTATAACCTCGAATTTCGCGGCACTGCACTGTGTACGATAAAACCACGAAAAATCGCCAAATACGGGAGCTCGCCAGAGCCAGCGCTCATCTTTTTTACGAATGGAATGTAGCCGTGTCTCACGTGAACTATGAAATTATTCTTTTCTTTTCTTTGGCATGTCATGACTAGGACTAGCGGCAGGCCTGTGTCCCATCAGGACGAGTTACACGTTTCATTTCCGTATGTGTGTGTGCCGGCCACCCTTTTTTTCTATTTTCAGCGTGCTTCAGCGCCGCGGTCGGGCGCCCTGCCCCGCAGTATCACCGGCCGCTACAAGCACCTCGCTGCTAATCGTTTGAAGAAGTCTGCTACTGCTGATACTACGTCCGGTTAGTTGCATTGTTGCTGCTGCTTATGTTGGAGACGATCGTCGTGCTATGTTGCACTCTGTGTGTGTGTGTGTGGGGGGGGGGGGGGGGGGGGTGCAGGCAGGCTAACTCTGACCTGTATGTGCGTTTCAAGATTGTTGGAAGACTTAGGCCAGTCTTGTACAAGGCTGCTCAATGAAATCTGCTCTCATGGATACGCTAGCGGCCTGCACTGCATCAACGCACAGTTCAGCATTGGCATGCCTGTGGCACCCTGCACTGCACTGCACCAGTGCACAGTTCAGCATGCGCATGCCTGTGGCTGCATAGAACCTTGCACTGCACTGGACTGCTTGTTGCATGGCCGGTATGACATTGACCCGTACAGTCGGATATCGCCAAGCAGCACTGCACTGTACACATGTTGGACAAGCTATGCACTGGTTGTGTTTTGACGCAGACATTTTTGGTGGTGTTTTATTTTCGGTAACTTCGGCACCGACAATTTTTACCTAGAATAAAACCCTACCGAAAACTTCGGTGCTAGTACCTGGAAAACCGAAAATTCCCCTCCACCGAGCCGCCGATTTTGGAGGATACCGAGAAAATTACACCACCGGAATTTTCTGCTTTTACAGTACAGTGCAACCTGTCTAAGACGACCACTCAAGGGACCTTAAAAACGTGGTCTCTGTCACCATGTGGTCTCCTTATCCAGGGTCATTTGACTGGAAATAGCATCCCTTGGTCCTGGCTTCAGTGGTCTTCCAGGACAGGTGGTCGCCTTATCCGAGTGGTGGCCTTGACAGGTTTTGCTGTACTTCATTTCATTCGACGAATTTGATATTTGTGCCAGGTGACAATGCAAGGGAAAGAGTCAGAGAGGAGGCGAAACAATTTGATCTGCATGCGCCAATGATGTGGTGCTCATTATGTGATTCTCAGAAAATCACAGAATGTGCATACTGTGTAAAACATGTAAGTTTAGGTGCATTAAAATTTCGGTGCTGGGGACCTGCCAGGTGTCAGGTGTAATGTAGAATTAGGTGACCAGCATTCCCTTCACATACAGTGCATACTCTAGTGCCTTTTAGGTGTAGCTTAAATTTAGGTGTCTGGTTTCTGTACCGAAATTAAAGTCACACCGAAAATTACAGGTTTTATAGTATTTGTTATTTACACCTTGCGCCCCAGTGCCCAACCAATTTTAAAAAATAACCGGTGCTTCAGCTAGTGAAATAGCCCATCTGTATCCTCTAAGCTCAAAATTTAATGTTCTACAGTCAGTTTCAAAAAGATTAACAATCCTGGTGATCGCCCGGGGAGTTTGCCGTCTTACCGTATGAGCGCTCGAGCGCTGCCTGGAAAAACTCACTGTGAACTCGAAGAAATATTCCACGCGAAAGCATGAAAAATGACAACTCACTCAGGTCGATGTCGGTACAGTCGTGTACGTTTACGTCTGGTTCACAACAAACGAGTTCTTCCTCGTATCGATTATGGAGTTTTTTTTTTTTTTTTTTTTTTTTTACTAAGGCCACAGCTTCCAATCATGACATGCAAAGCAGCGGTGCAGCATCGCAGGCATGAATCGTGGACGTGGTGACGGGGTCTGATGTGCTCCACCGACCTAGGGTCTCGGCTTCACTGCACAGCAAACGCGTCGAAAGAAAACGGGGGCTAATAATTATCGGGAGATGGGGGGGGGAAGAAGAAGAGAAGAAGAGAGAGAGAGAGAGAGAGAGAGAGAGAGAGAGAGAGAGAGAGAGAGAGAGAGAGAGAGAGAGAGAGAGAGAGAGAGAGAGAGAGAGAGAGAGTCAGAGAGTCAGAGAGGACATGTCGAAAGTGTAGTAAATGCCAAGGCTGACGAGCGGCATGGGTTCGAATATGTTTTGTGACCAAATAGTTTCTTTGAGCTGCGATGCAATTTACTCTCACCATGTGACGAAAACGACATCGACACAGACTCATTCCCAAGGCCATGACTTGCCGAAGCTATCCGTATGACTTCGACAACATTTTGAGAAAAGCAGACGCCTGTGGAAGCTGATAGAAGACGGCGTTGACTTCTAAATTCAAATCAATTGGCGATCTTGAAATACTAAAATAATTCTCAAAAAGAAATCGATCGATCGATGTGCCGGTGTATTCAACACGTAGCTACAGCGCAATGACTTCCGTATTCACTCACACTGTTTCAGTGTTGTGGGTGTGTTCACATGGCGTGAGCCAGTCAAGTGTCAGTCAGTTCGGGAGGAAGCGGGAGCTCCAACAACAACAATCGTGAACAACAAGTCCGCTTGATCACCAAAAAACAATGAAAAAAAGTGTGAGTTGAAGATAGGTTGGGGTTTGAACTCACAACTACTTCAGCAGACAGCATCCATAACCACAAGGCCAGAAAGGAAAAGATTAATCGTGGGTTTTGATAGAAAAATCGATACTGGCTTCCAGGGCAAATTGCAAACCATGGGAAAAGGCCGGAAACCTGGCCGAAATTCTAACTCCTTAATGGCTTGTCCAATTGTTCCGAAACCTTCACAGAACAATTTGCCGTGCCCTAACCAGCCCTTTTATGTACTTCGTTGTCCAATTTTCCCTTATCTTCATACTTTTTAAGACCAAAACCTGATTGCTAATCTTTTTGAAACAGACTATAGTAATATTGATACACAATTGGTAGACGCTCCCTCGGAAAGCATTATGCCCAATTGTCTATTCTCAGAATATTGTCTGGCACGGACTGTTGTGTTTGTGTTACCTCAGAAGTGTCGTCCAAGTCCGTGGATAGTCCGGAAGCGCCAAGTAGTACCTTTGCCCAAGTTGTTGCACGCAATCCGTTTCAACAGCAGGCATCTGCTGGACAGCAGGAGCAGCAACAGCAGCGACAACAGCAGCAACAACCACAGCAACAGCAGCAACCACGACAACAGCACCAACCACAGCAACAGCAACAACAACCACAGCAACAGCAACAACAACCACAGCAACAGCAACAACCACGACAACAACAACAACCACGACAACAACCACGACAACAACAACAACAACCACCACGACAACAGCAACAACAACCACACCAGCCACAGCAATCACAGCAGCCACAGCAATCGCAGCAACCATGGCAACTACAGCAACCATCGCAAGAAGCACAGGCACCGCAACACTCAGCAAGCGCCGTGCTGTCCAATCCCTTCGCTCTCAACTCTGATAGAAGTAGCATGGCCAGCAACCCGTTTCAACGCACCGGCCAGCAGGCACTGGGCGCACCGTCAACATCAGCGGACGCAGACACAACTAGGCAAGCTAGCACAAAGGTGCCAGCTGGACGGCGAGTTCGAGTAGCGGCGCGCGCTGCAAACCCATTCCAGCGAGCAGCCACGCTCCACCAGCCATCGCAGCCAGTGTCAGACGAGCCGGCGCCGCAGCAGACTAGGCGACAATGGAGCAAGGTGGTTGCAGGAGATTCGCTTTTACCCACTTCAGCAGGTACGGTAGTGTCTTGTATTAAAGCCTGTCACATATACTAATGTCAGCACTGACCACGCAATCTACACAGTCAAGTAAGCCAATTTAGTAACCGAACGTTTTCGTTCCCTCCTCATCATGGGTAAATACAGGGAATAGTGGAAAAATGTCAAATACAGCAACTTTAGAGCTACAGCAAAAGCATCGATCGAGAACCTCACGCTATACGTGTGGAAAAAATAAAATTCAGCTTAACAGGTCGAAAACAGTGTGAAGGTGAAGAAATGACTAAAACATATTGAAAACATCAATGAGAAGAAGCATTCCTGACACTTTCACGAGGATTAGCGCCAAACAACTGAAGTGACAAAACATTTTCCTTCTGAACGTATAGTTCAGGGGACAACTTGCGAATATACTGTCGCGGACATGGAAATCCAGTCGATTCACCGGGGCCGGCGCCCTCAACGCCTACAGAACGTAAGTCGTTGCATGCAGTGCACAATCATGTTGAACCGATGCGACCAGCAGCAGCAGCGATACGTGCTATACGGCTGCATTCCCAGTGCCCTGGGGCCGCTAGACGTGCAACCGGATTTCCATGTCCACGACAGTATAATGCTTCCGAAACAGACAAATGTAATACAGATCTGCCACGGGCCAAAACTGAGAAAACATCCTCTCTGTACAACTCACGACAACTATCACTAGCCGACAGATGACTCTTGATAGCCGATTGCTGATTGTTGGAATGCCGCGTCTGTTTCGTCACCTCCAATTTCGCAGCTCTTGACCCGTCCTTTCCACTGGGCAGTCACATTGTCGTCACTTCCGATGCTGCAGGTCCTGACTCGTCCCTTCCACCAAAGTGTCAGGAAATCTTCTTCTCATTGATGTTTTCATTATGTTTTGAACCCTGTTTTTGACCTGTTAAGGCCATGGTAAAAAAACAAAGTCGATTCTCAGGTCATGAGCCTGTGAAAATCGGTGCGAGCGAGCGATTTTTATTTTTTATTTCCCACAATTTTTTTATTCCCAAAGATAGGCCATAATGGTCACATGTTCATAATTATATTCAGGCCAGGAAGTAGAAAAATACCGGTATTTTACTACTCCCTGATTCACTTGCACTGCATGCACACGCTTAGTGCTGCACTGCATGCACACGTCGAGTCTCACTAGCACTGCCATGTATATGTATCTGTATACAAACAGTGCAGTGCGTACTAGTACACAGCACGCCAGGACTGTACAGTGCAGCCGTATTTGTACATCATGCATGGCCGGCCGGCCAATGCGCGCATATGCATGCATAGAAATAAAAAAATCGTCGGTGCGTCGCCAAAAATCGGTGCGCGCGTACTTGAGAATCAAAGATAATTTTTACCATGGCCTAAGCTGAATTTTATTCCCGTAGCTATGCAAAATACGTTACTTCAGTAACGCCTGGCGCTAGCCAGGGTCCACACAGCTTTAATTCCGTGTTTGTGTCGTCGGCATGTCTGGCGCTATCCCGTACCTGTCCCGTACCGTACCATCAAAGACAGCTGGCCACAATATTCAAATACTGTATAAGCAGAACATTTCGTCGGTCAATAATTTCGTCCAACTCTAAAGAATGGGAGTTCGTCCGGTTGTAAATTTCATCCATGGATCATAAGAGTGTATTGAACAGCTGAACAAATCAATATTCGTAGAAAGGAAAAGGACATAAGGATACGAGTTAAGAGTAACTCTCCATCACTGTAACTGGATACTATATATAGTCAGAAAGTGCAATAACTAGGCACACAACTGACAAGAGTACGGAGACATTCGACGTCCTGACACCTAGCTTCAACACATCTTCGTAGCGCTAACCGACAGCCTTCCAACTTGGAAGGTTCAAGGTTATGGAAAGACCAAAGAGGGGAAGGCAAGAGTTACTCTTAACTCGTATCCTTATGTCCTTTTCCTTTCTACATGTATTTATGGCTCAACATCCGAGTTTCAAATCAATATTCGTCAGGCATTTAATTTAGTCCAAAAGATCTTTGGACGAAAAAGACGAAATTAAATTCCAGACGAATATTTCTGCTTGTACAGTAGGGCTTTCAAATGCAAGATCATTACGTTAAGCAACTTGGAAGAATGAGTATGTATGCTAAGTGTATCGGGGGAATGCATGCAGGGCGATAGTGCGAGTTCGAATCCCAGGTTATGTCTTGAAAAAATAGGAGAAATGAAAAATTTATAACATCCCTCTGCTTTTTTTGCCCAGATCATCAAGGTGGTAGACGGTGTCGTATTACCCTCGAATGCAAAGAGAACGTTTATTTCTTTCGCTCAGGGCCCTATGCTATGCTTTTTTGCCTAGCTCATCATGCATGTTAATCGAACAGATGGAAACTTTTTGCAATACAATGATGTAGCCGATCAGTTCGTTGTGCTCATATTGAAAGCAGAAACTGATTGGAACGTTTTTGCAATACAATGATGTAGCCAATCAATGGAAAAACATGTCCATCAGTTCTAACAACATGCATGAGCTAGGCAAAAAAAGCATAGTGTAGGGCCCCGAGCTTCCAAGCTCTCTCGTTTTTTCCACACGTATAGCGTGAGGTTCTCGATATATGCTATTGCTGTGGCTCTATAAGTTGCGGTATTTGACATTTTTCCATTATTCCCTGTATTTACCCATGATGAGAAGGGAACGAAAACGTTCGGTTACTAAATTGGCTTACTTGACTGTGTAGATTGCGTCGGTGCTGACACCTTTTCTTTCGAAATTGGATACGCCTCCAATTTTCTCCTTACATAATTATATTAGTACTTTAGTAGAACTGATTTTCAAATTGCACTGTCGGCACATGTGGCTGGGTTTTAGCGTTGACATGCTATACAATACCTGGTTTGAATACAAGCCTGATGTGAATAGAAGCCTAGCTCTGACATTGACTTCTACAGGAATACGTCCGGTTGTTTACTACGCGCCATTACGGGTACATGGAACAGACGCTGTGCTTTGCTAGTGAACCACCGTGTCACTGGTTTGACGGTGGCACTCGCTCAACTGCAGTCTTTCTTTTGAGGTGAAGAGGTCACTGTACGTGAACTTTGACAATTCTTGACTTGGTGTCTGTGCTGTAGGCTTCATCGAGCCATTGCATGTATATGATTTCCTGGCCACTATGATCACCTTGGCCAGAGCTTGCAAAGAAAATGAAATACATGTGTTGTATGCAGAAGAGCAGGTGCTAAGTCGGGATTTGTGCTGCAGAAAACTGCATGTATCATCTATGTTTATGTTGTAGAATAGAGGATGTGGCCGGGGGGGAGGGCTGTAACCTGTACTGCCGTGTAACTGGTACTTGTGTGTTTCCACTGGTGAAGGGTTGCTCTCTCCGCATGTCCTTGGAACAACAGCATGTGTGCTGCGTTGACTGCTGGACCTGGACGCCAGGTTTCTTGATGCACTTTTTCTGTCTGTGTGTGTGTGGGTGGTTGTGCTTGTGTGTGTGTGTGTGGGGGGGGGGGGGGGGGGGTGTGCGTGTGTGTGGGGGTGTGCGTGTATGTGTGTATGTATGTATGTGTGTCCTTTGTTCGTGTGACTTATCAGGCAGCAGCGGCATGCCGTTTGGGCAGTCCGGCCGGCAGGCTTTCGCCCAGCCCTCTTCTACTACCGCACAACCGCGATTAGGGGCAGAAGTGAGTGAAGACGTGCGGTGTGTGTCTGTGCCTTCCTATCTGTCTGTTTCTGTATCTATCTGCCTGTTTGTCTGTCTGTCTGTCTGTCTGTCTGTCTGTCTGTCTCTTCAGTAGAATCCCTCGAAATCCTCCCCGCATACAAGCCCATGCTCACACGTAGGCGTAGGTAAAGAGCATACACAACTAGTCGCCGGTTTGCAAACCCACAAGCATACACACCCCCCCCCCCCCCCCCCCCTCTACACAGTTCATTTCCCTTCTCTGTAAGCTAAATGTGCAGCTGTACCAGCAGTACTTGCTGTGTTTTGTTGACGTACCGGTGTGTCTGTCGATTGGCATATACTTCCATGCCCACACGTAAGCCCATTGGATGGCCCTGTTGAATCTGGTAAGCCGGGTCATTTCAACTCCCGAGTTTCACGTCTACACAGCCATCGGTTTACTTTCTGGTGACGTGTTTGGTATGTACGGTACACGACAATATTTCACTTTTTGGATGAGGGCTTACCTCGAACACACTAATCGGTACATAGTTTGTTTGTTTCTGTTGTTTGTGTATTGGGTACAGCGTCCCGTGTTGAGACAGCCGGCATCGCAGAGCATGGTCACTCCGGCCTTTCCCACCTTTGCTCCTAGTCCAGTTCACAGCGTTGCCCGTGCGCCTCTCCGAGCCTACCCATGTAAGCGGTTGCATGAGTAACATGAGAGAGAGGGAGAGGGAGAAAGCTTTGTTGCCTGTCCTCTATCCCTTCAGCCTCGGTGCCTATGCATGGGTTTGAACTACTGCTGACTCAGACTACTGCTTATACACAGTTTGTATAATAATACATGTAAAAATGTACAGCTCGCATATGGCTCTCGTAACGTGATTCTAGGAGGTTTGTGCACATGTCATACGTCACTCTCATTGGTTTACTGAAATTCAACACAACATAGGAGGACGAGTGTATGCATGCGTGCTATTATCATTGATCTGTGGTGTGCTGTGCAAAGCTTGGGCTCACTCTGCCGTGGTTTGGTTATGAAAACTCTGGTGTTTATGATGCGAGTTTGACTGGCATATTGGCATGGTATGCATTGTGTGTGTATGTGTGTGTTTGTTTGTTTGCACATGTGTGTGTGTGTGTGTGTGTGTGTGTGTGCGCGTGTGTGCGTGTGTGTGTGTGTGTATGTGCATGTGCAGTACCCGATATCCCTTTACCGCGCCAGGTCAACACCGACTCTGCGGAGGATCGCTTCAAAGCACTTGACGAACGGGACAAACAGATGCGGCAAGGTCAGTTCCAGCCTTTTGCTAACCTGGTTTGAAGTAGACACTGTGTGCATGTGTGTGTGTGTGTGTGTGTGTGTGTGTGTGTGTGTGTGTGTGTGTGCGCGCCGCGAAGCCGTGATGCTACCCCTTTGTTCCCCTCCACATAATGAGCAGCTTGGCTGTTTAACGGCAGCTAAATGCCAGTTGCCTCTGTGTGTTTGTGAGCACATTTACTTCACACACTTCTATCTCACCGTATCATCTACTTGAGAACGGTTTTATTCACAACACCATGAAGTAAGAGTCAAAGCAAAAAGAAAACCCAATTTCGGAATAAATAGAACACTCATTTGAAAATATAAAATTGAACGCTAAAGCTTCAAAAGAAATCGTTACCTAATAAGAATGCCTACCGGCATGCAAAGGCGAACGATCACGCCTCTGCCCGTGTCAGCACAGCCGGCGGCAATAAGCTGCAAATCATCTACTAGTACACTACATGGTTATCTTAGTGCAACAGTGTACATGCATTGCCCTCCCCGCCGGAAGTCCTCCCCCCCCCCCCCCCCCCCCCACACACACACACCTGATGTAGCTTTTGCATGTATGTACTGTAGACCCAGGTGCTCGAAGTCCGTACATGGTATCCTAAGTTCGTACGCCCATAATTTCATGTTTTGTTATTGTATTCGACTCAAATATTTTATGGAGGGGACAGTGTGGTATGTTCTCCTCGCGTAGCAATTTTCAGGGATCTACGATAAGCAGAAGCCCCATACCACGCGACTGGGTTTTCGAGTGTCCTTACGAAATACAAATTGGGTTACATTTCATGCAAAAATCAACTTTGCCAAGACCGATTTCGAACGGACACAGCGTCAAACAGACCTTCACTCAATCATCAAGAGCCAGCTTAGAGCTGACAATGGCCAGAGGAGAAGAATTTACAGAGAACCACCAATCCTTGCAGAAAGGTTGACACTCCTGGCATCTCCACCACTGTTTTCCCGCGGTTTTCACAGCGCAGCTGCTTCTTCTCTGACCCCACTAAAAACAGCTTGCATTTCGGCAACAAACTACGCTTTTGCAAGAAATACTGGTGGAGGCACATGCCAAACATATCCCTTCGGTGCTTTCGTCGTAACCGAGGGATTGCAAGTTAGCAATTAGCAGAAATATGTGTGTATTTCGAGTCACCTCTGATCAGTACGGACCAAGAGTACATAACCCCCCAGAGTGTGCAACTCCACTATGGGTGCTGTCCCGACAGAATTTCAAGTTGACGTCATTTTGATGATGCAATGCGCACTGTACACGGATTATCAGACGAATCCGGAACCTGTGGTTGACCGAAGCCGATCGATCCTGTACAAATTATTGGAAAGAAAAACGTGTGATGCGTTGACACCCGTACACATGTTGTAAATCACTGGTGCAAGGAGCATTGCGTCATAAATAATGACGTCAACTTGAAATTCTGTCGGGACAGCAGGGTATGTGGGAGTTGCACACTCTGGGGGGTTATGTACTCTTGGTACGGACTTAGAGTACCCTCTGCGACACAAAAATTTGATATGAAAAATCAGCGAACTCCAGAGAAACAGATCGGATTGAAAGATGGCCTGGTTCAATCGAGCCTGGCCTCAGAACAAACTTGGACAAGATACCTTCCATCCACGAGCAGGATTCTGGCAAGTGATCATTGCTAGTGTGAGTTTCAGCTCGGCAAACACACACTGTAAAAGTGTACGGACTTCGAGCACCTGGGTCTACTAGCTTCATGCCACTGTTTCCCATCAATCCTGATCCTGGACCGGTGTCAATATACCCCGGTATTGGTTGATTTTTCCTTTTCCGAATGCAGTACATAGATGAGAGAGTTGACGGGAGTGTTGGTGGTTCACTTAGTTAGTGGATTGCCTGTAGTGGAACATGACTGTGTACCCTGAAACATGATTCCTTTTTGGGAATTGAGAATTATTGTGACAAGTTACGCCGCTGCCCCTTCTGCGTTACCAAGCTTTGCGTGTGGTCGTGTGTGTGTGTGTGTGTGTGTGTGTTTGTGTGTGTGTGTGTCTGTGTGTGTGTGTGTCTGTGTGTGTGTGTGTGTGTCTCTGTGTGTTTGTGTGTGTGTGTGTGTGTGTCTCTGTGTGTTTGTGTGTTTGTGTGTGTGTTTGTGTGTGTGTGTGTGTGTGTGTGTGTACATGGTGTATTCTTGTATTGTAGGTATGACAAAACAGTCTGATCTAGCCACAGCGTCAGCGTTGGTTGGCACCTGTCCGGATATGTGTCCAGAAAAGGCAAGGGAGTGATGACTTATGGTGCTAAGTTTTCTTCTCTCTCTCACTGTTCTCTCTCTCTCTCTCTCATCCTTGGCTAACTTGTCTTGAAAAATATTAATTTTTCTGTGACATTATGTCACGTGTGAAGGATGAGAGGGAAGGTGGCTTGGATGAGACACCGCAGGGCATAGAACACATTTGTGTTTTCTCTCTGTGGTTGTGATAAGCTCTTCTGAGAACTGGCACTAATCTCTCTCTTGTTTAGTTGCTACACTATCCCCTGGTACTGTACCGGGGTTTGTGTGTGTGCGTGTGTGTGTGTGGCTTTGTTGGCTTCGCACACGGTTACGTGTAGGTGTGGGTGCATTTATGTGCATGTTCACGTGCGCGTGTAGGAGTGTGTTCACACCTGTTTGTTTGTCTGTAGCCTTCCTTTCTTCTCTGTGTTGCTTTCATTTCTCTTCCTTTTTTTGTGTCTGTTTTCTTTGCTCAGGAGCGCTATCGACGTCAATACCAGCGCCTTCTGAGCTTCTTTGAAATGGCCGATAAGTCGGTACGTGCAAGATTCGGCAGACAATCTGTTCGGACATTCTCTGAATGACTTACCGAGGGTGGAATTTCTCTTTGCAGTTGCCTTGGACCTGTTTGTTACAAGAAAATATGGAAGAGGCCGTCGTATCCTTACTGCCGGGCTTGTTCAATAGGTATAATTTGTTTGGAAGTGTTCTTGCTATTTGTGGGGCAAACTTAGGCTTTGTGTATGTGTGTGTGTGTGTGTGTGTGTGTGTGTGTGTGTGTGTGTGTGCATGTGTATGTATGTGTGTGTATGTGTGTGTGTGTATGTGTGTATGTATACGTGTGTATGCATGTCTGTGTGTGTGTATGTATGCATGTGTATGTGTGTGTGTGTATGTATGTCTGTGTATGTGTGTATATGTATGCATGTGTATGTGTGTGTATGTATGCATGTGTATGTGTGTGTGTGTGTGTGTATGTGTGTGTATGTATGCATGTGTATGTGTGTGTGTGTGTGTGTGTATGTGTGTGTATGTATACGTGTGTATGCGTACTTGTGTATGTATACATGTGCATGCGTGTGTATGCATTTGTGCATATGCATACGTGTGCAGAGCGGTGACGTGGATCATAGGAAATGTGTCAACGAGTACAGCCGCTCGTCAGCCGACAAGGTGAGTTTGCCACGTCTCACGTTTTGCCAGCTCTCTGCTTGTCGCCGTAGACGTTGACATAAGACCGGGGACTAGGGTGTGCGACAACATTGGGCACCAGTGGTCATGTCGGTATCCCGTCACGGCGACGTACGTGTGGTGTTGCTGGTGCTGTGCATGTTCTTGTGGCTGGCGCTGGGTGATCACTTCGATATGTGCAACCCCAACGCATACATGTACATTGACGAACAGTGGTGATTGCGTGCCCATCCGTGTGTGTCTGTGCGCGTTTAGGACGAGCCTCTGCCGCACGAAGTACGCCCGAGTGCAGTGCTGCAGATGACCATGCAGTACCTGTGCCGAGAAGTGATGGACACCGGCACCGACCAGGCCTGGGCAGAGTGGTATGACTATATCTGGAACAGGACACGTGCTATCAGAAAGGTAAGCACGCCGCCGCACTCTTGAGAGAGCAGGCTTTCTCCGGTTGATTGAGTGTAACAGACGTGAAGTACACCGGCTCCCTGCTACACTGTAAAGCAGCTGGACCTCATCCACTCCAGTATAATTCATTAATTGGAGTGGTTTCGTAGTTCATGCCGTTCTCATGAGAACCAGTTATGACGGCCGTCCATTGGCGAGTTGACTTGTTGGCTGGCATCCCATCTCGACTGTACGCCTACCACGTCCTTGTGTTTATGTCCGCCTGCCACGTGCTTGTGTTTATGTCCGCCTGTCCTGCCTGTCACCCATCTTGTGTGTTGCATCCTCCAGGACATTACTGTTCAACACCTTGTCTCGCTGGAAGCCGTCGACCTCGTTGAGCAATGCGCCAGGTCAGTACCCACTCCTGTATTAGAGAGGTTCTGCAAAACGAAAATTGGAACGAAGTTTCGCGACGGGCCTTGAGGATGCCGTGTGTAGGGTTTTTCATTGACGGTCTCATGGTCTTGTTCTGTTTAGATTTCACGTATTCTGTTCTCACCACCTCTGTGAGGAAGATATGATGGCATTTGATCCCAAGATCAACAACGAGAACCTATCCAAGTGTATCCAGACCTTGAAGCACATGTACGATGACCTGCGTGAAAAGGTATGTTGTCTGGTCGTCCCCGCACTCTGTATCTCGTGTGTGTGTGTGTGTGTGTGTGTGTGTGCATGTGTGTGCGTGTGTGTGTGTGCGTGCATGCGTGTTTGTGAAAGTGCAGGGTTCTAGCTAGAAAAATCTGAGGAGTGACGGGCTGTATCCGTGACAACACTCTGGTGACGGGCTATGTCCGTGATAGCACCCTGGTGACGGGCTCTATCCGTGACAACACCCTGGTGACGGGCTGTATCCGTGACAGTAGGGATGTCAGCGAACGCACTGCGCAGGTCTCTGCGCATGCATTGCGTCATCGATTTTTTGAACATGATCGCGGCCGACAGAGAAAACATGGCCGCGGTCTGTTTGCACCGCTGGGAGTCGTAAAATTACTGTTCTTCTGTCCCCGCGACCATTCAAATCATACGCGAGACGAAGGACCCACGTACTCACCACGTTCTCCCCGGTCGATTTCTCTGAAAGTTTGCACATCGTGAAACACCAGTATGAGAGGTGTTCAGGCCGAATTTCAAGAGATTTTCCTGGTTGGATCGTTCCAAAATCGGACTTGCATTTCTCGCTCGCGGCCATTTCTTGCGCGATGGAAGCGCCCTGCCCTTGTGAGTAACCAGCATCGCGCTTGGTAGAGAGTTGCTGCAATCAGCTCCCTGATGTCTTCCCTGCCATTGTCAGAAGCGATGGACCATGAATTTGTTTGAGAGTCTCTGGATGCTACTATTCCTCAGCCTAGTTTTCAGCCATTCCGTGCATCTTCTTCACACGATTTATTTTGCAAAAAAATGAAAGTGTTCATGAGTTTTCTTGTCGGCCGCGCGTAGATGGGCCAGGCTAACCTGCGCAGATGGGCTGCGCAGTGCGTTCGCTGATATCCCTAGTGACAGCACCCTGGTGACGGGCTCTATCCATGACAACACCCTGGTGACGGGCTGTATCCGTGACAGCACCCTGGTGACGGGCTGTATCCGTGACAACACCCTGGTGATGTGATGTGGACATCAGAACACATGACTGAGTGCATCATGCTTGTGTGCCTCCAGAGTAGCAGGACGGTGTTGTGCCCTCCGTTGGCTAGAAACCTGAAGTGTATGCATTGTGCAGGCCTGATGTAATTTATCGTTTGCAATTATCTTGTTCTTGCTCACCCTCTGATTTCTCTCTCTCTCTCTCTCTCTCTCTCTCTCTCTCTCTCTCTCTCTCTCTCTCTCTCTCTCTCTCTCTCTCTCTCTCACTCACTCACTCACTCACTCACTCACCCACCCTGACAGAACATCCATTGTCCCAATGAAGCAGAATTCATGGCCTACGACATCTTACTTGGACTGACAGATGGCGATGTTCTTCGGTAAGCCAGCGTTGTGTCACTCTTTTGCTGCGGTGTACACTACATGTAGTTGTGGTTGTGTGTGCTTTTCTGTGCGTACAGTTTGACGTGCAAGTGTTGCCAGTGTGTAAGTCCTACCTGATCATGTGCACACCATCGGTCTTAGAATGCTTTCTCTACGTGTTATTAGCCATGCGTTGTGTGTACTAGACCCGGTACTAAGCCATGTGTTGCCATGGCTGGCTATCCCCCCCCCCCCCCCCTCCCCTCCCTCCATATTGCCCTATATTCCCTGGCCACGGGAAGGTGAAATTAATAAATAAATGTACTGTCATACCTCGTTTATCCGGGAGGTCTGGGACCGGGCACTGTCCGCAACTTTGAAATGTCCGTAGCTCCGAATCCCATACATTTTGATGGGGAACTGCCATAGATATGGCATATGACGTCACTATTTCCACAAAGAGTGACAAAGGAGTAGTAATATTTCCACTGAAACTCGCCCAAAGATTGCCCGGTGGACCTACAAGTGCCCGTAAGTTCAGGGTCCGGATATGAGTGTACTCTTTTTTTCTTCTCCCCTTGTTTTTGCGTTGTGTTGCGGCTTCATTCAGGCAAGTGCTGCGATTCCCGCGCCACATCCGAGACTCGTCCGATGTACAGTTTGCCGTTGACATGTTCAACGCCGTAAACGACAACAACTACGTGCGATTCTTCCGTCTGGCCAGGTAGGCTAGTGTGCTGTTGTTGTTGCTGTGAGGGCTTGTTATTCGGCCGTTCTGCTGTGTGCGTGTGCGGATGGTTACGTCCGGTCACCGTGTGCTGGTGCTGTGGAGAGCTCTGTGCCCCTTGGTCCCCTCGATATTCTCATTCAGGTACTGTATAAGCAGAAATATTCGTCTGGAATTTAATTTCGTCTTTTTCGTCCAGGGAGCATTTGGACTAAATTAAATGCCGGACGAATGTCGATTTGTCCATCTTTTCAATACACTCGTATGATCCATGGACGAAATTTACAACCGAACGAACTCCCTTTCTTTCGATTTGGACGAAATGATTGACCGACGAAATATTCTGCCTGTACAGTAGTGCACGCACCGGTACCGTATTATCCAGAGTTCAAGCTGCACTGGAGTATAAGCCACACCAGATTTTTGCCACGAAATACACACATCTACCCTGTTTATCACCGTTAGTTTGATCATCGGAATGTAAGCCGCACCCTCTCTTTTTTCGGCTCAATTACTGGTATTGAAAGTGTGGCTAATACATGTACTCTGGAGAATCTGGTAGTCCTGATGTAAGGTCCATGCTACTCTTGTGCCATGCGGTACCCTAGGCCACGCATGGACCCCATACGCACTCGCTGTGTTGGCGTACATGCACACACAAGCTCGATGGGAACGCGCAAACTTGACAGTAGAAGTAGCTTTGGGAATGTAGGCTGATTGAATCCAGTCTCCTTTAGTTTTGGGCCAACATCGAATCTCTCATTTATAGTAGTCCCCTCTTTAATATTCTTTCCCTTATACGTTCAGGTTAGTGATTGGTGTTCAACTTTCATCCCGTGTGCCCTCTGCCTTGCTTGTGTTTAGATCCACGACCTTGTTGAATGTGTCTCTATTACACCGCTACTTCCCGATGGTAAGCCGGACCATAATGATCTCGAATCACTCCGCCCGTGTCTTGGCCATGTGCCGAGTGCAGTTGGCTGATGGCACTGTCCACATGTCCTGAGTGCAGTTGGCTGATGGCACTGTCCACATGTGCTGAGTACAGTTGGCTGATGGCCCCGTCCACATGTGCTGAGTGCAGTTGGATGATGGCACCGTCCACAATCAGCACATTTTATCGTGGACTTCCTGGCAAATTTGTTAATGTACACATACATAGTTTTTTTGTCAAATCCTACTGGCTTGACTGCTGCTGAAGTATGCCTCTAATGTTTTGTCCAACACTGCTTTACTGTAAATTTGTGTGTGTGTGTGTGTGTGTGTGTCTCTCTCTCTCTCTCTCTCACTCTCTCTCTCTCTTTCTCTTTCTTTCTTTCTTTCTTTCTTCTTCACATGCAGGTGCGTAGCTCAGCCCTACGCTGCATGGCAAAGGTCTATTCATCCTCCGCCATGGGCATCAACATGCCTCTGGCGGATTTGCAGCGCCTTCTCTGCTTTGAGTCACCCGCTCAGGTGAGTTTCTTTGCTCGACTGCAAGAGGTCACTGCATAACACAGGTTTTGCATCCGGCCTTGGAGCATTTTCTCAACAGAACATGCTTTACTGAAGTTGTACAAGTATGGTGATAGCAGGAGGTATGTATAGGCTGCACAGACGCATTACAACCTTGCACTCTTTCACAGTCACTTTCTTCAACTTATAAGTAATTAGTTCAAGTCAAGCTATCGGTCAGGGATGACTCACCACATTAGAAACTGCTCTGGCTGGATGTTTTGCTCAATCTGTATTCTATTTGAATGGTCTGTCGATCTCGACCATGTGGTTGCCCTCGTCACAACTGGTTCACCAACCTCAAATACTGTACCCTTCAGTCGTCTGAGTCTCTCTCTCTCTCTCTCTCTCTCTCCCCCCCCCCCCCCTCTCTCTCTCTCTCTCTCTCTCTCTCTCTCTCCCTCCTTCTCTCTCGTCTCTCTCTCTCTCTCTCGTCTCTCTCCCCCCCTCTCTCTCTCTCTCTCTCTCTCTCTCTCTCTCCCCCCCTCTCTCTCTCTCGTCGCTCTCTCTCGTCTCTCTCCCCCCCTCTCTCTCTCTCTCTCTCTCTCTCTCTCTCTCTCTCTCTCTCTCTCTCTCTCTCTCTCTCTCTCTCTCTCTCTCTCTCTCACCTGCTTCACCCACTTACTTGCAGGCTGCCACATGCTGTGAGCTACACGGCTTTAGAACCACCGAGGACCGCGTCCTGCTCAACAAGAAGCAGTATCGACAGCCCGAGGAGCGAGCGGTTCCTGTTTGCTGTCTCATGATCAGTTCCAAGCGGATTGGTAGCATTGGAGAGGTAATCGCCATGCACTGCAATGCGCTGCTCACTGGCTGTCTTCTCTGTAGCTGACTGTGCACACTGCAGTGTGATAGTCTACTTTTTGCTTCTAACCGTGTGATCGTGCTCGCTGTTGATAGTGAGAATTTTGCCGTCACGGCGACATCCTGGGATTACATCATTTCAGGGATGTGGTGCGAACAAGCAGGATTCAAGCAGATCTTTTTTTCTGCAAAACTGCAGCTCAGTTGTACGCACTACGCCACTTCCTGCCTCAGATCAGCACCAACTATGATGTAATGCAGGGATCTCGCCACGACAGACACCCATGCAGAAAAAGTCGGAAGCTACTCACGCTGGCTTTCATGTACTCGTGGTGAACTGCTTTACTGCATGCACTATCAGCTCAACCAGCTGGACACACATGCTGTGAAAACCAGGGTTGCTACCGTCGTACAATCACCCACTAGCATAGTGTGCATTAGCCCATTGCGCAATGGCGTAATGTGTACCATGACAGATTATATTATTCCCTGCTGTTCAAACTGCACTGCAAAGTGCCAGGTTGGGTGTTGCGGACTGGCATGAGCTCCACGTAGGAGCAACCGGTTTTGCCGTGTATCAATGGCTTTGCCGTGTATCGATGGCTTTGCTGTGTATCGATGGCTTTGCTGTGTATCAATGGCTTTGCCGTGTATCAATGGTCCACAGATTGATTTCTCCGCGTTGCAGCTCGCCGTGTGTATGTTGCACCAATAGAAGTCTGTATGTGTGTGTGTGTCCATAGTGGTGCTGCAGCTTTCTGTGGTCCCCAGGGTCCCCGGGACTACGGAACTCCAAGCCATCTTTTCTTGCCAGATTATCATTCTCTGTGTGTCCTTGCCGTGTGTCCTTGCTGTGCATCTTTCCTGTGTGTCCTTGCTGTGTGTCCTTCTTGTGTCCTTGCTGTGCATCCTTGCTATGTGTCCTTGCTGTGTGTCCTTGCCCTGTGTCCTTGCCCTGTGTCCTTGCCCTGTGTCCTTGCCGTGTGTCCTTGCCGTGTGTCCTTGCCGTGTGTCCTTGCCGTGTGTCCTTGCCGTGTGTCCTTGCCGTGTGTCCTTGCCGTGTGTCTTTGGCGTGTGTCCTTGCTGTGTGTCCGTGCTGTTTTTTCTTTGCCGTGTGTCCTTGCTGTGTGTCCTCGCCATGTGTCCTCGCCGTGTGTCCTTGCCGTGTGTTCTTGCTGTGCATCATGCATGTAGGTGGTACACGGCAGAGCGATACCGGCACGGCCAGATCATCATCCCATGGACTCGTTTTCAGCGGACGGACGGCGGAGACTGGAGGCCGCAGCGTCGCAGTCACGCCCAGCCACAGTGCAGCAAACCGAATCAACATCCAACCCTGTCCAGCAACAGAGCACAGCCTCTGTCACCAACAGCAGCGCCACCGCCGAACAGGACGAGAAACTGTTCTTGAGGCAGCAGCAGCAGCAGGAGGAGAAACGGCGCATGTTGGAACGGCTTCGGGTGCTTGAGGAGGAGAAGCAGAAACGCATCCATGAAGAAGATAGGCGACGGCGTGAAGACCAGCAGCGGCAAGAACAAGAGCGTGCACAGCAACTACTGGAGCAACAGAGACGTCAAGAAGAACAGCAGAGGAAGAAGAAACAAGAAGAAGAGGAACGCATCCGGCGTCAGCAGCTAGAAGAGCAGAGGCGGAAACAAGAAGAGGAGCAGCGGAGGCGTGTTGCCGAAGAACAACGTCTGGCGAGACAAAAGCAGGATGCCCTCAATGCTGTTGCGAACGTAAGGAAGACGTCACTTGTGTTGATTGTATCACCTGGCTTCTGCATCTTGCAACACGTGTCACTTTTTATTGTAGCGATGTGCTGACTAGGGTGGCAGGTGCCAGTGCACCGACAGTGCTGTTGCGCTTCCACGATGCTTTTCAATGCAATCCGACCGCATGAGTCAAGCCCGCACCAGGCGCTGTGCAGTCCTAGACCTGCGAATACTGGGCTGTGCATCGGGTGGTTCAGGGTGCAGACTTGACCGGCATGATCAGATGCCATTGAGCAATAGCACTGTGTTCATGTTGGGATCTGATTGTACGGCTTGTATGTGCTGCTAAGCTTAGCTGTCGCTTGGACTGAATATGGGACATGGATTTCTACAAGTACTCCTGTCAGGCTGTTGCAATACCGGTGCCTTTTTTTAGTGCTTCTGTCTGTGTGTGTCTCCATCTCTCTGTGTCTGTCTGTGTCTCCATCTCTCTGTGTCTCTGCTGATGTGTGTGTGTGTGTGTGTTTGTGTGTGTGTGCGTGTCTATTTGGCATTGTGTGCTTGCACAGTCTGCAGCTGACAAGCTGCTATCCGACGCAGTGTCTTCACAAGTAAAGACGTTGGCCAAGGAAGTCATGCAGCAGGTAGGGCAATCCCAAGTTAGCCCGTGTGTGTGTGTGTGTGTGTGTGTGTGTGTGTGTGTGTGTGTGTGTGTGTGTGTGTGTGTGCTAGCGCCTGGTGAATACTATGATCTACGTGATGTTAGACTGTGCCATTCTTGGCCTGAGGTAGTTTCTTTCTTCCCTATGTCCGCTGTCCGTTTGTGCCCTTCTCCAAGCATCGGCGAATATCTGCCATTCATGTTGAAGCTGCTTAGCTAGAATCGCGGCTAAACGATTTGTGTATTTACTGTGTTCTTGTTAATCGTGAAAGACGAACGGGCTGAGTTTGGTAACATCCCAAATCAGTGCACCGTACATCCCCGGTTATAAGTCACACTCAGTTACAAGTCTCATCCCCATTTTCGGGTTGGAGCAGTATTATTGTTTCCATAGACCTGAAGTATTTGCATGAGTTGGACATCACACTCGATTGTAAGTCGCATTCCCTTCTTTGCCCTTGAAGCTTATTGTAAAAAGGTGTGCGGCTTATATTCGGGAAAATACTGTATTAGCACACGAAGAGACAAAGCCAGTTGTGAAACTGATGAGGCCTTTCGTACCATTACTTCTCAAATCAGTACATGGTGATGATGTGACGCAGCACATCAATGTCAATTTATACAGCATATTGGCAGTGAAATGGTGATGAAACGCGGACAGGTTTGATGATGGTGCTAATTGCGCCAAAGAAATACGGTACACTGGTGACTGGCGTGGACAGCTTCTCGATGCATGGCTATTGTACTGTCCTAAGAAATACGATAGCCAATATTTTCCTGACGTGCGTATTTTGTTCGTTTTTCTACGCTGTGTACACGTGTGTTAGGCCGTACTCTGTGAGCAGAGATCCCGCCAACTCACGCAGGATGTATTGGAACGATCTGTAACACAACTATTATCCGAGACCATTGCTGAGTGTCTGGCCGAGGCTGAGAGAGAAAGGTACTGTGCGTTTGTTTCTGTGTGTGTGAGTGTGTGTGTGTGTGTGTGTGTGTATGTGTGTGTCCGCGTGCGCGCGCATGTGTGTGTGTGGGGGGGGGGGGGGGGGTGTTTGGCACTATTTGCATATTTTCAGTCCAGACTTTGGAGTGAGGGTAACTAACATGGATGCAGCTAACAAGGTTTGTGAGACTTACCTCCTCACCCTCACCGCTAGGCGCTGCATCTGCCACCATGCCACCTTGGTATACCAGGCATGGTGGTGGCCTGACACAAGGCAAACTTCCGAAAGCTGGAACTCCCTAAATTTTGCGAATGTACTTCTGGAAACCTTATGCATGTGCATGTACATGATTGTATTAGCTATTCAGTTTGGGCTAAACTGGAACCCTGTAGTGATCTATGGATCTGCCCCCGCCTTGTATTTTACATGCATTTAACTAAACTGTCTCCTTTCATCTCTCTTTTGCCGTGTGGATGTCTCCAGGCAATTGGCACTGCAACGTCAACAAGAGCGCTGTGTTGAGGAGATAATGGAGGTAATCGTCGCAGAGGCTGTGGCCCGCTGCAGCCATGCTGTCAGCCATGCCGTGCTTGAGTAAGTCGTTGTTCTTTCTCCCGACCTTGATGTTCCACCGGTGTGTGTGTGTGCGTGTGTGTGTGCGTGTGTGTGTGCGTGTGTGTGTGTGTGTGCGGGGGGGGGGGGGGGGGGGGTGTGCGCGGGATCTCTTTCTCCATTACTAGATTACAGTATGTAAGAGTATGTAGAGCATGCCATTGCCAGCAGGCAGCAATCATGAATGATAGGTGTACATGTTCTGCAGCAGTGTCTGCTCCAGAGCCGGGTCAGCGACCCGGTTGGAGGGTACTTGGACCCGTTTGGAAAAAGAACACCGGGTCATCTGTGACCGTGTTGGGATTTGGAGGCCTCGTCAGGGTCCTGGAGGCCTCGTCAGGGTCCTGGAGGCCTCGTCAGGGTCCTCGCAGTAGATATTGCCGGGGCCTTCGACAAGGTCTCGCACAACGGCGTCCTCCACAAGGCTGAGCGGTGCGGCATAAGTGGCCCCCTCCTTGCCTGGCTCCGGAGTTACCTGACAGACCGCCACATCTATGTCGTCATAGGCGGCCAGTCTTCACCGACCCACCGAATCCAATCTGGTGTGCCGCAAGGCAGCATCCTCGGCCCCACCCTCTTCCTTCTGTACGTCAACGACGCAGAAGACCACCTGCCTGATGGGGCGAAGCTGGCTGTATACGCCGACGACACAACTCTCTACAAGTGCATCACCACCCGACTCAGACTGCCAGAAGAGACTGCAATCCTTCAGCAGGCAGTAGACTCACTGGCAGCATGGGGAAGCAGGTGGAGGATCAAGTTCGAGCCCACAAAGTCGCAGGCATTGACCATCAGCCACCACCGCTCGCCAACCCCCCCGAACACAATACGCTTCCAAGGAGCAGTCGTGCCAGAAGTAGAGGAGCTCAAGCTTCTTGGCGTCACCTTCGACAGGCAGCTGGCATTCCGCAGCCATATCCGACAGCTTGCAGTACGCGGAGCCCAGCGGCTCGGCTTCCTCCGTAAGGCATCGGCTGTGCTAGACCCAAAGCACCGGGCAATCGTGTACCGTGGCTTTGTCCGCCCTGTGTTAGAGCATGGCATGCTGGTGTGGATAAGCGCAGCCCCCACCACCTTGGCCTGCCTCACTGCCATCCAGCGCCGTGCCCTGCACATAATTGGAGATGGATCATACCTCCCGAGCCTCGACATTCGCCGTACCGTAGCAGGGCTCTGCTTTCTGTACAAGCTGCACTTTGTGGAGGGTCCGGAAATGGTGAAAGCCATTCTGCCACCATCAGCAGCCGCACCGCAATGCCGCACGTCTACTCGTGAGACAACCAGATCTGCAGCACATCCATCACAACTCACCAGTATCCTTCCTCCTCAGTCACGAAACAACACGCTCCGCTCATTTCCCCACTCCCTCATCGCAACGTGGAATCAGCTCCCACCTACCCTTCTGCAGTCTTCCCCTTCTCGCAGAGGTGTGCACACCCGGTGCACTGCTTTTACTATTGTTTTGTCCTATCTCAATCTCAAATTCTCCCCATTATCGTTTGCAAATCCGGTGCTTCCCTCTTGGATGCACTTGTTTCTTTTCTCCTATGTATCGGCGCACAGGAGTAACGATGATTCCGAAACCTTTGGTCGGAGGAGTTACTTTTGCCCCGCCCCCACTTCCATCCAATATGCCACCGCCCCCGCTGTGCAGCATCTGATGGTTCTGTGGTATTCAGTAAAAAAAAAAGAAAAATACCCACCAGGGAGTCCTATTATGTACAGCAGGGAGTACTATTATGTACAGCAGGGAGTACTATTATGTACAGCAGGGAGTACTATTATGTACAGCAGGGAGTACTATTATGTACAGCAGGGAGTACTATTATGTACAGCAGGGAGTACTATTATGTACAGCAGGGAGTACTATTATGTACAGCAGGGAGTACTATTATGTACAGCTCTCTGATGTACATGTACATGCAGTAGCCGTACTTGAACGGACCTGCCTTTGACCTGGTTGGAAGAGTTGTGCCAGGTACACATGTACCCGGTTGGTTTGAAATCCTAGAGCAGACACTGTGCAGGTCTCTTCATATCCACTTTACACAGTGTTTGAACATGATAGCATAATGGCTTGTCTTGTTTGCTACATGTGCGGTGGCTTGCTGTTCACTGCAGATCGCCTGAATCGTTCGCGGCCTTGGAGGCACACAGATGTCGTCTGGCCATGGAGCGCAGGTAAGCTATGGTAACAGGTTGCTGTCATCCAGGTGGGTAGAGAAAACTTGTACAGTCAGACCTCTTTTATCCGATCCCTCGCCATCCGGAAGAAAATCGTTGGTCACCGGTTTACAGCTAATGTCATGCATATATGCAGTATGTGTGTTCGATTATTCGGTTCCCTCGCCTATCCGGATATTTTGTTGAAAACGGGTGTGTGCGGTTAAGCGAGGTCTGACTGTACACGTACTATCAAGATGTCATAACCCCCAAGAGTGTGCAACCCCGGTGTACAGGGTCTGCGACGGCAGACCTTCACATCACGTGACGTGACAGGAGCCGTGCATACTGCCTCCACCCAGTACATAATGCATACAGGGTTGTACACAAGTCTGTTTTGGATACAACTCTCTTGTGATCACCGTACTTCCATGCACACCCGCAGGTGTTTTGTGCATCAAGGGGGCCTCTAAAATATGGAAATAGGAATGGGATAAATTTAAAAATGTCAAGGTAAACAATCAGGGGAAGTGAACTGCCAGTGTGGCACTTGTTGTGAGCTGCCTTTGGAGTGCCAAACTTTTCAGCGCCTTCTAGGTTCGGCCTGGTCCCATAGCTCAGATGGTTAGAGCATTGCTGATGACAAGCAAGGTCCCGGATTTGAGACCTGGTTGGGGTTGACTTTTTTTCTTTTCGCTTTTCTGGTAGTTCACTTCCCTGAGTGTCTGCCTTTAGAATATTTTCATTTTTACTTTTTTTAGTATTTGCTTGCCTAATAGTACCCCTTTCTATGTTTTGACCGCTACACTTGTGCTCCCTGCCTTCTCTGCCTTTTCAGTCAACAGTTCTGGTCACCAATAGACCTGTCCTCGACTCTGACACCGTCTGCCACTCTTAGTTACGCAGCCGTTGTGCGTAGCCACCCGCAGCAGCAAGTGACACCGGCTGCAGCGTCGCTTGTCGACTGGAAACTCACCGTCGCCCTGCCCTTCCAGAGCATTGTGATGTGGAGAGACGTGCCCGTGTCCAGCTGGCTGCATGAAAAGCTCTCCTGTCAGGAATCGTATCGCAACCTAGTGACAAACGTGAGTAGCCGTCTGTGGGACAAACATGAGCGTTTTTGGTTGAGGCAATTGTAAATTGCAAGGGAAGAGAGGTACATATTTGTGCTTCTCTTGATTGTTATTTTGTATAAAGAAAATTGAATGTGAGGTTGAATTGAAGAAATGACTAGCAGTTGATCTGCACACCGTAATTTTCTTCACGCAGCACGGATCCCTGATACTTGTCTGTAACAGGTAATTGTCAACACGAGCATTGTGTTTAGCTTCAGGCTACTTTGAGTGGAGTGCTCTTCAGCAAGCTCTTCATCTACCTCTTGCGCTCACCTCTCTCTGTGTCTTTCTGTCTCTGTCTCTCTCTGTCTCTCTCTGTCTCTCTCTCTTTCTCTCTCTCTACCTCTGTCTCTCTCTCTCTCTCTCTCTCTCTCTCTCTCTCTCTCTCTCTCTCCCTCCCTCTCTCTCTCCCTTCTGACCATGTATCTTGATCTCTCTCTCTCTCCGCTCATTCTCTCATTGTCGTGTCCATTTTCAGATGGACAGATGGCAAGTATCGAAGACTCAGAGTGGTTCTCAGCGTCATTCATTTACGTGTGAGGTGAGCTATTAAAGTATTATCAACTCTGTGTTTTCTGAGGGCCGCGTCCCACCTGCCTGTGTAGTGTCACAGGTAGCGTGAGTTTCGAAGTCTGAAGAAAATGTTGAACGGTCTCTGCTGGGATGACAGCTACACCATAGCCCAGTGGTTAGAGCATGGCTGGCTTCAAGCAAAGGTCCCTGGTTCGAGTCCTGGTAGTGAGACTGATGGCGGCCAAGTTTTTTCTTCACAATTTTTCCCTTTTCCATTCCCTCAACTAACGAACATCTGGGTAATATTGTCCTATTTCTTTTACTGTCCATGAGAGGGATGAGGGGTGATGTGTGTGTGTGTGTGGGGGGGGGGGGTGTTGTTGTGTCTAACCATTAGTTTCCAGTTTCCTGGCCAGGAGAAGCAGACATGCACATCATTGCACTAGCACATGGACAGACGACCACTGTTACACTGAACCACCGCTCTCCTTTGTTCCTTCTTTGAGGCCACTGCTTGGATTTACCAGTTTTTTTCTGGTGAACACAGATGTGTAGTGTGCCATTTTGACGGTTCATCCCTTACCATGCAGTGTGGCTTTTTTTAGTCGCTGTGCAGCGTTTGTGTTGTAGAGACTATACTATACAGCTTGTGGTGAGGGAGAGAAGAAGCCCCTTTCCTGCTTGCCTGAACAGTTGAACGCACTGAAATCCAACTTAGAGTGCATTGTACATGTGTACGTCCGGCAGCGTTCGTACCACTTCCAGGGCATCAAGGGCCGTGCAAGTAACAGTTGAGGGCGCTAAATAAACAGTTTGGGTCGGATTTCACCGAGCATAACTAGCTATGCATGTTTACGACTCGGGTGAATTTCTCCTGAAGTTGTTGTCGTTGTCCGGTGTTTGCTTGTTGTGCGCTCAGGCGATAACTGGTCCCGTCTTGGCAGAGCACTACTCCTACGTGTGCTCGTCCAATGCTATCATCTTCGTGCAGTCAGCGGATCACGACCATGTGGAAGATGTACGTACACGTAAAGCCAGCTGTCATGTTTTTTTAGCATTCATTGGGTCCAGCGCTACGCTAGGACTCCTGCTGTAACTAACTTACTTGTTGGTGCTGTTTATCCTCAGTAATATGGGGATAAGCAGCAGGTTTCTGCCTGTTCATCGATGTGGAGGTGGAACTAGTTCATTGCTTTTAAAACCTCTTTTGTTGTACTCTCCGCCATGTTTCCAGTCTGTATTCTCACGATGACCTGTGGCCAATAAGAGATTTTATTCTGGTAGTGAGATTTTCATCACATGGAGGGTTTGGAATGCTTGATAAAAGACAGTTCATGTTTAGCAGTGGGCAAACTAGCGCGGCTCGTGCATGAGCAGATTGAGTTTAGCAGCAGGGATGAGATCGTGGTGTATCGCGTATGGTGCTGCACGTGTGTTGGTTGCAGATGTATGATGCCGGTCGCTTACACTCCATCTTGGCGACGTGTCCAGTCAGTGCAGCTGCACCTGCTCTTCTTATGTTATGCGCATGCTCCGGTATACAACACTCCATGTGTCAAGGTTAGGGGAGAGTGGAGACGCACTGCTTGTCATCAGCAACTTAAGACTTACTTTACACACCTGCATGCATTTACAGAAAGTTACTGCACGCATGAACACACTCACTCACACTCTTTCTCACGCGCGTGCGCACGCACACGCACACACACACACACACACACACACACACACACACACACACACACACACACACACACACACACACACCTGTGTACACATGACACATGCATGCCAGGCTATATGCACTGCATACAAGCTCGTATATTCAGTTGTATTTGACCCTGCTTACGTGTATCTGCACCTAAGTGGTGAGATGACAAAGCCGTCGTGTGCTTGTTGTGTTCCAGGCACCTGATAGATCATCATCAAAGATATGTGCTAAATGCCAATGCCCAGCAATGGTTTGTATGTTCATGCTCGTGTTTGTATGCCATTGCCTTTTCTCCATCTCCTCACTATCTCTCTCTCCCTCTCTCTCTCTCCTTCTCTCTCTCTCTCTCTCTCTCTCTCTCTCTCTCTCTCTCTCTCTCTCTCTCTCTCTCTCTCTCTCTCTCTCCCCTCGTCCTCCCCGCCCCCCTCTCTCTGTCTCTCTCTTCTCTCTCTCTCTCTCTCTCTCTCGCTCCTGGTCTTCTCTCTCTTTCTAGGCTTAGACTTGGCAGGCTTGAAGCGCAGTGGGAGAATCAGCTCGTTTTGTCGCCAGTCTGTCACCTTCCACCCTCTGCCACATCATATGCAGGTAAGGTCCTGGACATACGTGTAGTCGTGACAGTGCTCACAGTTGAGTACAGCTCTGCTATGTACACCACTGTGCCTTGTCCTTGCTGCGTGTACACATGATGCTGCGTACTGTCCATTCACAGGAAATACTCCCACTGGCTTTGGTAGACCAGTATTACCTGTAGGCAAGATGTGTTCACAACCGGCACGTGAAGCCACATGTTTGTGCGAAGTGTTGCCGGCTTTTGGGGCGTCATGCGTATGGAAACGTGCCGAAATGAAAATAATGCCAACGTGTTGTATTTGTTTAGTGTGCATCACTAACACACTGGCTTACTTACCAGTCACTTTCACTAGCTGGGTCAAACATTAGTTCTCAAGGGGTGGTGCACGACTTAAAGTAGGACTCAAACTCCAAGCGAACCTGCACGCCCACACACACATACACACATATGCACACATTCACACTCACACACACACACACACACACACACACACACACACACACACACCTTTGACCTTTGACGCCCATCGCCGGAGGCGATGATAGCAATGCTACGGCAGAAGCCATAGCAACTTGTGCTGGGATTGCACCATTCAACAGCTTGCAAGGCTGAAGAATTGACCGTCACTATTCAGCCTGGTCTACACCATACAGCTATTTGAAGTGACTTTTTCTGGCCAGTGAATCCCTATTTTTGGTCTTTTTCTTTTTTCTTTTTTTTTCTTTTTTTCCCACACACATCACACCACATACTCTGGCATGCACTGGCTGTTGGTAACCACCCAGGAGAATGAAAGAAAAGTCAGGAAGAGTCTGAGAAAGAGAAGAAAGACGTGTGTGACCATAATCGTCGGGAATCGAACCCGCAACCTATCGATTGGAAATCGCTGCACATACCACTGCACCATATGGGACACACACACACACACACACATACACACACACACACACACACACACACACACACACACACACACACACACACACACACACATATGCACCCGCACACATACACACACACATACATACATACATACATACATACACACACACATATACACACACACACATGCATACGCACACACACACATATACACACACATACACACACACACACACACACACACATGCACACACATACACGCACACACACACACGCACACACACACACGCACACACACACACACACTCTGAATGCCCTACTTAGTTTGGGTTCACAGTGTTAGAAATTTCATTTTCTTCGCTCCTCTCTGCCTTGTATTTGTGGTGCAGCTTATGAAGAACTTGCTTTGGTTACACAAACAACAAGGTGAATGTAGACCGGCTAACTTGCTCAGGTAAGTGAACAGAAGATACGCAACTACTGGTTTCTGTACTGAGCAACAAACTGCTAGCATAGGTCATAGGTTTTGAATGTGAAAAAGTAGAACTCTCCAAGTACAGCACTGCTCAATGTTCAATATATTCAATATCGCACAAGTGGAGAACCCCTTGATAGGCTACTTGCCTCTGGCTCATCCCTCAAATAAAGATAATAATAATAATAATAATAATAACATAGTAGAAAGGAAAAGGACATATGGAAACGAGTTAAGAGTATCTCTCCACCACTGTAACGTTTCCATATGTCCTTTTCCTTTCTACTTTATTATTGGCTCAATACCCGAGTTTCAAATAATAATAACAATAATGAAATCCAATCGCGTGAAATCAAGTTTGCGCCCCCTGCACCGGTTCATCATCTCAGTGTTCACAGGTCTAGTGCTGTACAGCACCCGGCGTGGCATTCACCCGCTTGATCGGATTTCATTGAGCCGTACTGTACTGTATGCCAGGACAAGACATTCGTGTCAATGCGGACATTTTTCGAGGCGCCATTTCCCTCCGTATTAGCAGTACAAATCCCTTGCGACTGCATGTTCTCTGCTAAGACGTACACATCGTGTTTCAAGTACTGCTCCGCTTGGTGCATGACGAGCTGACCCTGCATACCATATACACTATAAGCCTATCAAGGCGACCACTATGATAAGGCGACCACCTGTCATGGGGGCCACTCTGAAAAGGCGACCACCTGTCATGGGGACCACTCTGACAAGGCGACCACCTGTCATGGGGACCACTCTGAAAAGGCGACCACCTGTCATGGGGACCACTCTGAAAAGGCGACCACCTGTCCTAGAGGACCACTACAACTAGAACCAAGGGATGTAATTTCCGGTCCAATGACCCTGGACAAGGACACCACCTGTGCACAGAGACCACATGTTGACGGTCCTTTGAGCGGTCGCCTTGGACAGGTTTCACTGTGCGTGTTCTTACCATGTTGTGTGCTCTCAGCTCTCACACTCTACATAGTGTACTGTGTATTCCCGCAAAGCAGAGTGTGATACCTGTGCTCTCACACTCTACATAGTGTAGAGGGGACGGCTCGATACCGGGACGCTTTGACAGCCAAATTTGTATAGACCCAAACCGATCATCAGCGTTGATTTTTCACTCGAAATATGTTTGTGGAAGGAAACTGGCATGTTGAAGTTTGCTCTGGGGCCAGAGTCAATCGAACTGAGCCACTCCTTTGTGTTGACCCATTGCCTCCAAGTTGCCCAATTTTTCGCTTCAAAAAAGTTCAAATCAGAGGTGGCTCCAAACCGGACACGTTTTAGAGTGCACGTCAAATTCACTCTGGGCCTGAAATTAGGTAATTGCTATCGCTCCACGACGGCCAGTACAGAGTAACAATAAGCCTTGTGTGTGCTTCCATTAGTTTTGATCGGTATGCGGTGCTTTATTGGCGAGAGGCGAGCCGCTGTTTACCTGCGACAAGAAGTTGATTTTTCGAAAGTCGTAAAACTCAAGTCACAGTGCGAAGCAACACGTCAAAAACTCACGTGCTTGATATGGCGCTTCTGGTCATCGCAGAGCCATGAAATTTTGACTCGGAGTATAACACATCGTAGCCTGACTGTGACATATGTTTTCTAATCAAAATACCAAGAGAGAAAGTGAATATTGAGTCCGTTCCGGTTTGCAACCTGTGTCCTGTTTGAAACCGTCCCCTCTACTGTGTATACCCGCAAGGCAGAGTGTGATACCTGTGCTCTCACACTCTGGATAGTTCTCTAGAGACATTCATCAGGGAAAATACGTCTCAATACTGAAATCTAGCAATAAACAACGATATATACGTGGACGAGTACGAAAATTTTATCCATCTTTTACTCTAGATAGTGTGCTGTGTATGCCTGCAAAGCAGAGTGTGATACCTGCGGGTTGACCGGACTGTGGCTTGTTGATTCCCACCGCGTGCGTGGCCTTGCAACAGCAGAAACGCAGCATCGGGGCTGCAGCGATGGCAATTTCCAGTCACACATTTGTAATCCCAAGCCCAGGCCCTGCGAAAGCGCAACAGTTGGGGAGCAGCTAAGGCTGAGGAGTGTGTTCCCACTTAGCAAGCATGTGTGTTGTGCGTAGCAAGGCCTTTCGGACTTTTCAGGAGAACGTGTACGCCTTTGCCGTACAATGATATTATACATCTTACATCACCAGCATTGAAATGGGGTGCCATCCCCTATGGCAAGTGTCGGATTTCACTTGCCACGACTATAGTAACTTGCTTGTGTGTTTAATCAAATAATTTACGTGGTGATGCTCGTTCTCAAAGGAGACCTTTAGTGGTCGAAACAGCGCTGTGTGGAGGAAAACATTATTTGTCAGTACCTGCAACTTGAGTCGATGTTGCTGGTTTGTGAGGTCGGCCAGAGAGCGCGTTTGGTGGAGGTGGGATTGCTCCATCTTTGTGGGGATTTTTAAAAAATCGATTTTGGAAGCACCCGTTTTCAAGCCTCCAACATATTGTCATGTTGTATGGTGATGTCTGTGGTGTCTGTGATGTCTGTGGTGTTCATACCTTTCATAGCTATTGTTTGTGTGTCTGTTTGTGTGTTTGTGTTTCCTTTTCTTGTAGTCCTATGGGTCTGTCTCCGGCAGCAGCAGCAACAGGAGTAGGAGCTACAACCACTCCAGGCCGTCGCCAGCGGCAACGAAAGCACCCGCATACAACGCCGTGTCCATCGCCCAAACGTTAGTCCGCTCTGGCGTTCTGTGTGTGTGTGTGCATGCGTGCGTGTGTCTGTGTGTGTGTGTACGTGCGTGTATGTGTGTGTAGCACAGAAGTCAGGCTGGTTTGTTGCAACTCTGGATTTCATGCTGAGAAACCATCAAGCAACATGAGAGAGCTATTAGAGAGCTCTACAACCCCCACAGGTATTGAGCAGTGTTTGAGCAGTGGAAGTTGCCTACTATGTACCTCCCACGGGTATTGAGCACTGTTTGAGCACTGTTTGAGCAGTGGAAGTTGCCTACTATGTACCTACAGTATACTTGCATGGATGAATGGACGGGTGGATAAACTCTACACTACATGCTGATCTGTGTTCCGCCACACGCCGTTTTCAAATCACGTAATTGCCCTTGGTAACTCTGAACACGACAGTGTACGACCGAGAGAGAGAGAGAGAGAGAGAGAGAGAGAGAGAGAGAGAGAGAGAGAGAGAGAGAGAGAGAGAGAGAGAGAGAGAGAGAGTCATAAATTTCTGCCCCAATCCACTTACGGAACACCTCCGCAAGTAGAGCCCCACTTACGCTCTCTAAGTAGACAACTTTCCGTAAGTGGAGTGCAAACTCGTGAAGTTTAAGTTGCTCAACTTTCCGTAGCACGGAACCTCTCTTAATATTCCAGGCTCCATGCTCTTGGGCTCCATGCTCTCTCTCTCTCAGCGCACTGGCTGTACTATACATTGCATAGGCACGACCATGGCTCTCAAAGTCACATGATTTGCAAACACAGGAGCTTACTAGTGTGTCCGTGTGGAGTCTGTGTAACTCTGCTGCTGCTGCTGCACTTGTACGCATTTCTACTAGTTACTCAAATCTGTGGACAGCAACTGTTTCGCTCTGTTAGAGCTCCTTGGCACAGCTCAGAGGACCGAAGCGCAGCTCTTCGCAATGAAATACGTTTCCGTGAAGCAAAGCATTTTTATAAAGAGCTGCAAACCCCGCCAAACAGTACTATTTCTAGTAGTTATATAACTTATATTTTGAAGTATTTTTGAACTAGGGGGGGGGGGGGGGGGGTTCAATGCGGATAGTTGATGACGAATGCAGACTGATTGGATGTGGCCTAAATACTAAACCTTGTGTTTGTGTCTATCTATTGCCGGTGCGCGCGCACGTGTGTGTGTGTGCATGGTGTGTGTGCGTGTGTGTGCATATGCCTATGCGTGTAGGTGTACGTCACCCGGTTGCAGCGACTGCCGCGCACGACGCGCAGTTATTACGGAGAAAACTACACGCCGAGGCCGTGGGAGCTGCACTGTAAGTCTTCGCGACATGTGCATGGCTGTGGGTGTGTGTGTGTGTCCTCCGGGACAGGTGTGTGTGTCCTCCGGGACAGGTGTGTGTGTGTATCCTCCGGGACAGGTGTGTGTGTGTGTCCTCCGGGACAGGTGTGTGTGTGTGTCTTGCGGGACAGGTGTAAATAAAAATATATAATGAAAAAATGAAAAATAGGGATTCACTGGCCAGAAAAAGCCACTTCAATCAGCTGTGTGGTGGATACCAGGCTAAAATTAGTGGCGGTCAAGTCATCAGCCTTGCAAGCTGTTGAATGGTGTAATCCAAGTACAAGTTGCTATGTCTAACATAGCTGTTCGCTATCATCGCTTCCGCGATGGGCAGGTCTGAGGTCTGAGGGACAGGTGGGTCACCTTATCCGAGTGGTAGCCCTGACAGGCTTTACCCTAGAAGGTTATTGTATTTTGATTCTGACATCACTTGGGATTCGAAACCATGTGTCTCGGTGATTGAAAAGTTGCTACCTGGCGCCTAGTGTCGTCACAGTTTATATATTATGTACGTGTTTGTGTGTGTGTTTGTGTGTGTGTGTGTGTGTGTGTGTGTGTGTGTGTGTGTGTGTGTGTGTGTGTGTGTGTGTGTGTGTGTGTGTGTGTGTCTGCATGTGTGCGTATGTGCGTATGTGTGTGATGTATGCTTGCTCTCTTTCTCTCTTTGCCTTTGCAGGTTTGAACAGCAGCTTATGCAACACCTGCTCTCTTGAAGACCTCTTGCACATGGCAATCACAAAACACATCAGATCATGCCCCCCCCTCCTTGATGCCAGCCTTACATACTGCACTCATCAAGAAAGAACATAATTATAAACATATCAACACATGTGCATATCAGCATGCATGCCTACACACAAACACCGACACCTCAACATGTGTCCACGACAACTCACCAAAACCACCACCACCACTCACCAAAACCACCACCACCACCTCTTCTATAAAGTATGTGTTGAGTTTCCTTATCAGCTGCTTCCATTCAGCTGGCTGTTTATTTTTGACGTTATCATGACTGATGTTTGGGCAGTGTGGGCTATCGATTCTTTCTACTCTGTTCTATTCTTTACGATTCGCATTGGCCTGTTGTGAGTGGGTGCAGCTAAGCACGCACGTTGCTCTTTCTCTCTCTCTCTCTCTCTCTCTCTCTCTCTCTCTCTCTCTCTCTCTCTCTCTCTGTCGCTTTCCATCAAAGAGCACCACTTCAATCCAGCAGCACTCAAGTCACACACATTCCCATCCAACTGCTGTTTTCAATATCTGAAGAATTACATCATCATCACCATCATCATTATCATCTGCCCTGCTGTGTCCAGGTATTGTCTTGTTGGGTTGGTTATTACTCCAATCTTTTTTTTTCACGCAATCAGTAACAATCATACATTGTCACGTAAGCCATCAAACCCACCTCCTTTCTCTGTCTGATAACGCAATTTTGAACTTGAAACGCTGAAGCATTGTCTCTTCTCTATGGTGCTGCTTGGCCGGAAAGTCTGGTGTAAATTTACTCATGATTTTAATTTTTTTAAATAATTTGACTGTACTTCAGTGAAAAGAGGGATTGTTGATCGTATCCTGCACGAAAAGTGTAACTGTGCGCGTGTGTGTGTAACTAGTTACGTGCATGTCATATCTCCAGCTAGTGTAGACTACTGTAGTGCTAGTAATGTGTAGATTGGAGGGAGATTGAACTACAGTCCATTCGCCAAATCGGGGGCCCTGATACACTAAAGCGTGTGCGTCTGAAAAAAAACATAGCTTGATCATTTTTCACCATATTCAGTATTCACTAACTATTAGACTGTCGTATTTCTGCCCTGTATAAAGTCATAAAACATTGAATGACTTGACTGGAAGAGGGGGGGGGGGGGGGGCTGGCATGATGACGTAACACTACACTTGACTCTGGTATCAATGACAATGTATCCGAGGCTGAGAGGCCTTTGGCCACCAACACTATAGTACGCACTGCACTCACACACACACACACACACATGCACACACACGCGCGCACACACATACACACACGCACACACACACATACATCGTTAGTTGTTCAATTCGGCCTCAAAATAGCGTGGAGTGGCCACATATTTCTGCATGACTATGAGATGAACTAATGAAAAATAGAATGGAGAATAGAATATCAGAATTTCTACAATTTTCTAGCACACATTCTTCCTGCTTGTAGAGGAGAAAATGCACAAGTCATTATCAGTAATACCACTCTGACTCTCTCAGTGGTACATGTCCATAAAATCAGAGCTGAGAAGACATAATATTATATCACCACCTGGAAAGATAGCCTAACTTGATGAAAACCAGGAATATCGTCCACTAAATGAAGGAAATTTAGCAATGGACTTGCAATGGACTTGGTATAATTATAATGTTTACAGGTTGCACAACAAGAGTAAAGGGAAAGGTGATCACAAAGAGAGGTGAAAACAACAACAACAACAAGAAAATGATGTGTATGGTTATCAATCAGCTGGCATGGAGAAGACGTGATGGTAGCAGCTTACTTTGGACATGGCAATCAGAGTAGCCATGCACACATCGCATGCATGCAATGTGTGCAATGTGTCAACATACATGTACACACACACACACACACACACACACACACACACACACACACACACACACACATCGCATGCACACATCGCATGCACACAATGTGCGCACATACATGTATACACACGCACGCGCGCGCACGCACACACCTTTCAGTGGCATCATGTCCACAGTATGGCGGTGAGCTGGGCGGTTAGCGAGTACACACAACACAGGGCACTGCCTTGGTGGTGCTGTACGGTGGACAGTCCATGCTTGTTCCACACGTTATGGACGCCAAGTACAGAACTCCTTCTGGCTTGTTGCCGGATGCACCTCGCACGCCGTCCAGTTGTTTGTCCATGCAAACGAAATCTGTCTTTCTGTGGCTGTAGTGCGAGGACATCACATACCCAGAGTACTCAAGTGTCCAGGCAGATGGGCACGAGGTACGCGCAGGCATCATCACCTGAGAGGATCGGCCCTTCACGTGACAAACGGAGCACGTTGGGTTTTGATTGTTCTGCCATGAATCATCGATCTCAATGCCATATATGGGGCTGTTGCCGTACGTACGGGGCGCGTTGGAGTCCACCTGTGCGGGATCGTATGGCATGCACAAGTGATTGGCACCTCCGCCATTGTGCGAGTGGTAAGACCCAGCCATTGCGCCGTTGTAGAGTAGCTCGGCCCCGGTGCTCCTATCACACTTGTTCTTGCCCCAGCGCGTGTAGGTGACGGAAACTCGCGACACCACGTGGCTCAGCTTCAGCAGAGTGCGCTCGATCTTGGTGACGCGGTCCAGCACCCGTGTTCCGCACGTGCTTCCCTGATAGTCGGTGGTGCACTTGCACACGTGCATGCGCTTGATGTCACTGTAGACGCAGGTGCCGGAGTTCTGGCAGAAGGGCTTGACCACGCACTTACCAAGGCCGCTCACACACGAGTGAATGCTGAAGATGTCGCCGGCGTGCGTGATACCGAACGACTTGCCCTGGAGCAGCTTGACCAGGTCCAGGAAGTTCAGTCCGAACAGAGCACTGCCCTTGATGCCGTTTTTCCGGAACGCCGCCACGTACTTGTCGAGATACGCCGAGCGCACTCCCGCTTGCTTGAGTAGTGCGTACATGCAATCTCCCTTGTCTCCTTTGGAGCCTTTGCTGGTAGTCTGAGCAGTCACCATTGCGCTGTGGCACACGGTCCAGATGACGAGAAGGCAAAACAGGAGACGCCGACCGCCGCTTCGTCCACCCGCACCTCTTCCTCCGTGTTTGCCTGAGTCCATGGTAAGCTGGTTATGCCGCTGCTTATCCTGCAGTCATTAAACACACAACAGCACGATAATTTGTGACTAGTCAGTGCATGGCATTGAGGACCATATTGCTCGTTAACGCCCAACAAATTAGCGCGCACACCCAGCTGTTAACAATACAATATTCATTATTTTTAACGTGCATGCAATGGCACCAGTGAGGCAAATGGTCGCGAAAGTCAGATGGTGTTAAAAACACACCGCCGTGGGCTGAGGGGTTATCATGGTTATAGGGGATTCACACGACGCGCAAACTCACGTGTGTGGTACTCTTTTGACTCGTGTGACCCTAGCGCATGCAAAATCTTGATAAACTTGATCGGGGGTCCTTGGCCCACGTTTGTGCTTTGCGTGCGTGTAAAAACAGCGAACGTACTTGAGTATGGTACTCAAGTACATGAGTACACAGACGCATGCGAGATTTGCACGGGTCTGTTGTCCGTGTGAATCCGATTGGCAGCTTGTCCACTTTTATACAAACGTGTTTTCGTTCATTTTCACGTCGTGTGAATACCCTATTATCGAGTTGCACACTCTTGCTTCTCTGTTTGTACCAGGAAGTAGTAAAATACCGGTTTTTCACTACTCCATGGTTTGTACTGTTGATCGCATTCATGAAGCGACTGGATTTTTCATGGTTTCCGCAAGACCCTGTCAGACTGAGATTTCTGGGATCGTATGGAACGCCTCCACCCTCAAGAAGCAAGGCGCAGATGCAGAAGCTCCTGAAGCGGTGGGAGCATGGAGGCAAGTAGTGACTGGACTCTAGTGTGACCGCGGCCCTACATAGCTGTTCGCTATCATCGCTTCAGCGATGGGCATGTCTGAGTGTGTATGTGTGTGTGTGGGGGGGGGGGGGGTGCACGCGCGTGCGTGAGTGTGTAGAAACGTTCACAAGGACAAGGACGGTGAGGCGGATGTACAAGTAAAGCAACAATAGCTACACAGTCAGTGAACTGCCTCAGTCTCACATTCTCACAGCACAACACACTACACACTACAGGAAGCAATGACAATGCAACAGCACAGGACAGGATAGCAATAATGTGCAATGTACCTGATTTGGTGGCATGACGCGTGGTGCAGATTGGATCAGTCCAACAGCTTCTGCCTGGAGCGATTCTAAGCGAAGATCGGGTCGTCAGCGGAGACTGGAAGCAATGGCTGCTGCTGGTGCTAGTCGATCTTCACTCGAAAACTCACACCGATTTCCAGCTAGCTCCGGAGGGATGACCTACAGTTCGCGACTGGTGCTCTCCACTGCATGCAACACAGCTTTTATACGACACACTGACTAGCTCGCCTCTCAACTCATGCATGATCATTGATTAGGCAACCTACTGAACAACTCGACCGGCGCAACGGCCGTACCGGGTCTGCCAGCCTTACGGCAGCTCAGTTTGTAAAGAGGACGAACAGAGCCAGGAAATCGGTGCAAGAACCGGAGCAAACCGCTGACAAGCAAGCGACAATGGCGTCCAACAGGTTTTGCTCCCATCTCCGGTTCCGCACAAGGATCTTCCCATTGAATCCGTTTCGACGCGCTCACCTGATGTCTCCTCGCTCCGCCTTTGTCTTTGATCAATAGATGTGCTCGATCCGGTAACGATTCGTCAGAAAGGCCAGCCAACATGACTACCGCATGAGTGTTTTCGGCTAGGCTAGTTCGTAGGAAAACGACACACAGATGAGGCTCGGTGACCTCTACAGTACTAGCTCTGTCTGACTCTGAGTCTGAGATTGCTGCAGCAGCCACACACACACCTTTGCGAGTCACCATGGTCACTGACCGCTCTTTATCGTGACACTGACCATGCTGACACTGTGACAGACTCGTACCCAGTCAGTTTTGGCCTTACCATCACTTCACTACTCTCTACTCTCCACTCTGATCTGTAGCTCGAACAGTGAATCCGTCAACAACAGGACAACTTTTTCCAGTAACATTACGATCACTTTTCAATGCTCCGTGGAAAATGACCACCATGTTCCTGGCCGCAAGCTGCAGCAGAAGAGAGGGAGTACAGGGCCCACAGGCACCTACACATACATGTATGTGCCAAATGCCTGTGGTACCATCAAAGGTAGTAGTGACAGCCTCGGAGTCGGAGTCGAGTCGACAAGTGACAGTACACAAGACCACGAGACACGACAGTGTGAAGTACCAAGTCAAGTGCAAGTAAGGCTTTGTGAGTAAGCCCGTTCTCACGTCAAGTCGCAATGTATGGACGTGTGGACGACTCGGCGTGTGGTTGTGCGGCTAGTGGCTGACGCCGTGTTTCTGGTCCTGGACATAATTATTGTCTGCAGCACTGCTTGTTCAGGCTCTCCCTACGTCTCACAGACCGTGCGAGTAGTCTACCGCGACTACCGGCATGCCCCCTGATTTCCGGGATATGGTCTGGCGCAGTGCTGGGCAGGCACTGCATGATGCCTGTCGCGCGCTGCATCCATTGGACATGTGATCTTTGTGTCCGTGTAGAGCCGAACAAAGCTTTTACCAGGAGTGCTCAGCATGATTTTTTTAATCATTTTATTATAGAGTTTTCACTTTTCAGTCATGCTGGACCATCACGACAACAGTTTACCCCTGAGAATGAGTCGATCAGTCAGTATGCATGATATTGCATGCTGACAGTTTGACTAGGGACAGTGACCGTTATCAATGGGAGTTAAAGTTTGGAGCAAAGGGCGGACATCTGCATTGTCGCCGGCTATTCAATCGTGTTGAGGGACACAACCAGATTAGGAAGGTTTAATCAATAATATCGCGTATGGGCCTCTAGAAGGAACACCGAACGCATTCGGGAGCGAACCTTTTTCTTCTTCTTTTTTTTTGTAGCCAAAACTCCGCCTCTTCGTCACGGAAAGGTGGAGAGAGTAAGAAGACTTCTAAGGTACGTTATGAATGTCCAAGTGCAGTAAGAACAAAATACCAGTTAGGGCTTGAAAGTGATGACGTCAAAAACGGCCTGGGAGTAGTAAATTGACATCAGATTTCTATTTTGGATCCACTAAGGTGTGACTTTGCTATTGCCTCAGTATGTGGGTGCATAGCAACCCACTCATGTCGTATGCAGGTGCAACTTTTACTTCGCCACCAGTTGTCACCCCGCCCCCACTAGCCAAATCAGTCAGTTTCACTGGCAACATCACCTTGCTGTGAGTGAGACCGCTTGAAATGTGCTTGGATCCATACAAAAACTGGATCCAGGTGGATCCAGTTTTCGAATTTTTCAAATTGTTGCTATGCCATTGCTATGGAGTGACGTAGCACTTTCAAGCCCTATATACGTAACTGGCCAATGAAACAGCACAACAACGAGAAGGATCCGGCCGTGTGGCCGTGTGCCGTGTGCCGTGTGGCCGTGTGCCGTGTGGAGCCAACAAGCTAATCATGTACAGTAGACATGTTGATACGGAGTTAGTGGACGTGACTCGTGAGATCATTGAACGCCTGTGTGACCTTACCGCGCCCGGGAGAGAGAGAGAGAGAGAGAGAGAGAGAGAGAGAGAGAGAGAGATGGGGGGGGGGGGGGGGGGCAGAGAAAGTCTACTTCAAGAAGGGTTAGTATACTTCTTGACAATCATCCCCTTTCACGATACAGTACAATACCAGTCATGATACTGTCGATCTTTTAAAGGGGAAGTATACCCTAAAATCAAATTTTCACCAGTTGTAGTCTTCTGGGTGCTGAGTCGAATGGTCTTGGTCCGAGGAAGCTGCGACGCTCCCTTCCTACTTGAATCCCAATCGAACTCGCGCACTTCCACCGAAACTGGGTGACTGCGCCCTACTAGATGGGGATTTGTATGCAAAATGTCACTAAAAGCGCCATTTCGTTCTTATAAAAGCACGGATGACCGCGATTGGCCCATATGTTGTAGTCTTTTGGACGCTGAGTCGACTGGTTTTGGTCCGAAAAGGCTGCGATGCAGCGTTCCTCCTTTATTCCCAATCGAACATGGTTGAACAAGCGGTCACGTGCTCCTGCGTACACCAGTCAGCTGGTCACCGTGCCTGCAGGGTACAACTTACTAGCCTGTTTGACCTTTTTTGGGTGCAGTCCTGTCACTCGAGTTGAACTCGAGTTGAACCTTGGTGTGAAAGTTGTCACCTGCTGGCGCGGTGACCAGGTGATTTGGGCACCCAGGAGCACGTGACCGCTTGTTCAACCATGTTCGATTGGGAATAAAGGAGGAACGCTGCATCGCAGCCTTTTCGGACCAAAACCAGTCGACTCAGCGTCCAAAAGACTACAACATATGGGCCAATCGCGGTCATCCGTGCTTTTATAAGAACGAAATGGCGCTTTTAGTGACATTTTGCATACAAATCCCCATCTAGTAGGGCGCAGTCACCCAGTTTCGGTGGAAGTGCGCGAGTTCGATTGGGATTCAAGTAGGAAGGGAGCGTCGCAGCTTCCTCGGACCAAGACCATTCGACTCAGCACCCAGAAGACTACAACTGGTGAAAATTTGATTTTAGGGTATACTTCCCCTTTAACACTGTTGCACACCCTACAGACTGCAGTACATGTACAAGTGTGCGATCCTGTGTGCAATCCTGTGTGCAATCCTGTGTGCAATCCTGTGTGCAAGTGTCTGTGTGCAATGTCTGTGTGCAAGTGTCTGTGTGCAATGTCTGTGTGCATGGAACCAAGACTGTACACATACTGGTAAGCAGTGTATAGAGATTCAGACAATTTGACCATTCTAGTGTGTTTAGTATTGTATAGTGCTTAGGAACACAAATGCCGGTGTTCTGTTCTCTAGCTAGAAGTGGAGTCGTTACACGTATAATTATCATCATACCATTATTAGATTGAGAATTGATCACTACTCATGACATCTATTATGATGAAACATAGTGTGAAATAGTGGTAGCGACCTCGGGGATAGTCCTGGGGGGGGGGGGGGGGGGTATGTAGTGTATTACCGGTAGTAGTAAAATACACCAGCTATGCTGTTATTCTCTCAACGCTCTATTAGTCTGTGCGTGTGTGTGTGTGTGTGTGTGTGTGTGTGTGTGTGTGTGTGCGTGTGTGGGTATGTGTGTGCGTGTGTGTGAGTGTGTCTGTGTCTGTGTATATAATTATAACATGTAG